TAACACCACGCCGGGAGCAGTCTAGATCGGCAAGAAAATATGTTTTTTTCTTTAATTTGATGCGTGATATAACATTTATCAAATAGTATGACTTTTTATATGATGAGTGTATTGGCAGACGAGGCTAGTACCTATGCAAAGACGTATACGGATAAGGAAAAATACACAACTTTGAGCGACAAGACATCGGCTTCGAGAAAGACAACCAGACTTGCGTTTGTGTACTAACTTGAAGACTGTCATTATCTAGAAAACTAATTACGGAAACGATTTACATTTATTTCCGCAGGATGTCGCATATGCTATACATATGCATGCGGCCTATTTTCCTCGGACTCAGTATGAAAAAATAATATTTAGCTTTCAACAATAAATCATATCACCCATTTCACCACTTACTGAATGCTATTTGACTAAAGTATTGTTACAAATTAATAGCATAAATGATCATTATTTAACAATCGGGGACCGTCGGTACTTCTCGTAAACGAGAAAATTGCAATATTTAATATAACTGGAGTCCTCTATGAACCCCATTCTATATATAGCTATTGTACTTTTAAAAGTTCTTATGTCTCCATGAACAATTCTACCTGGATTGAGATTTTTATAAAAATGTCATAGCATTTTGTTGATTCGAAACTTTTCAGAATAACCACGCTAAAACACTTCACCAATTTTCCTTTTTGTAAATTAAGAGTTTTTCATTTGGCGTTTATTATAGATGATAATTCCAAGATGGAAGCCAATTGCTTTTTGAATCTACTGTACCGTAATGTTTCGCAAATTTTGATTGTACCTTTACCTCGTGGTCATACTGAACAAGAATAACAAAATCAACATTAAAAGAAGGAGAAACGAAAAGAAATGTCAAACTGTTTCCTCACACTTTAATTACTGTGTTAAAAAACTCAACTAGGAAGGAAGACATTTTTGTTTATTTGTAAAAAACAGGCACATTGTAAATTTTCCTTGCTCTAATTCTCTTCCAGTTTACCGATTAAGATAGACTCTTGTTGTTAAGAATTGAAACGGCCCCAGTTAAACAATTATATATATTCCACGTATACTTTTATTTTAGTACATGTATGTTTGATTCAAAAACGCACCTCTTGTATTTGTGAATACGATTTTTACAATGTGATGAAAATTATTTCATTTTATGACCGAGTTAAGTATTTTACTGACCGAGTTAAGTATTTGACTGACCGGGGAGTTAAGTATTTGACTGACCGGGGAGTTAAGTATTTTACTGATCTTATAGGCATGCACTGTTTTGTTGCTTTCATATTTTATAGGGAAAACTAAATGATTTCTCAGTTACGTGATGCAAGCATGTGTATGATCACAAATGATCTGTAATTTCCTGTGATATTTTAGAAAGCTAAAACACCGACAGGTCAGCAATCCAGGAGCCCGAGATGTTCCTAACTGACCCCCAGTCTATTTTTAGTAACAGTTATTTTAACAACTTTTTCAATCCCTATTGCACATCTACATATCACAGCCACAGGGACCTGATAATTTGTTACAGCTATATTTGGACCTAAACTAAGATGTTTAGAGTTATTTTACAAGTTTGGGGGGATTAGATCGATTTTCAGTAAAAATGCCACCCCCAATGTACTTGGTGGTGGCATTTTTACCGAAAATCAATCTAAACAGCCATACCCCACCCTCCCACAAACGGGTAAAAATACTCTAAAAACCTTAGTTTAGGTCCAAATATAGCTGTAACAAATGATCAGGTCCCTGTGATCACAGCGTATAACAATGTCAAATTTCAAACAAGATTGGACTTTAGATACCGAAATTAGGACCATAACACCCCCGCCCCTCTCAGTCTCTTTTCAGTAACAGTGACACTGACCTTAAAAAATGTGTACCCCTACACACCTACATAACATAGTATCAAATTTCAAAAGGATTAGTCTTACGGTTTCTGAGATAACCTTTGTAAACAAAAGTATGGAAGCACCGACAGATAGACGGACACTGTGATTACCATAGGGCATCCTCATGCGAGGCCACAATAGAGTTGCCTATGATAAAAAAAACATGGGGGATTACTTCTGTATGACTGTTAAGTACCACATATAACTTTAGACAATAATAAGTTTTCACAAAGATGCCTTGTAATAATGGTGTCTTCTTGAGGAAATACATCTTGCCCGTAGTAAAAAAAAATACAAACAGATAATACATGTTTACAGATTTTCATAACTAATTATTCCAGTAGTCACTTTGGATCTGGATTTCACACATAATATTTATGAAATATTTAAGAAAATATTTGATGGATAAATATAACTATAATCCCTTTTTGTCAGCGAGAACCCATATTTCAATGAAAAAGTTGGTGTTTAAATTAAACTTTGCACACCAAAGAAATCTTTAGGACATGGCAGTCATGCTTCCAATCAGGCCAACGTCGTGGCACCCAATCCTCGTGCTGTAGGGAATAAATGTACATAGATATACCAACACAGAGCGACAAAGATTGATATTTAGATGAATACAGATATTTGTTTATTAATAATGTTCACTATTACGCTTTGTAGTGTATATTTAGACTCTTACAATGTACAGTGGTTGAAAGAGCAAGATGAAAGATTATAATGCAGATATATTTTGGACAGACAGAAATATGTGAATTCCAGGTGTTACGTTCACTGCACCCATTTGGAATTCCAGGGTTTACGCTGTCTTCCTCTTTCTGAACTAGTTTGACATATCAGGGGTTACTGTAACTTTATATCTATGTACACCAGGGTACGTAAATGAGAAACACCCTTTGCATATCAGAGATATGTTCAAGCGCAGAATTGCATATTTATTTTTAGCTCACAGAAAACCCTTCGATCTGGTTGTTTCAATAGACATCAATCTCGTACATATATATAGAGCGGAAAGTACGCATATCAAGAATCTGATTCCAATGTTCATAAAAAAATAAAACCAAGGGTATTGAACTTGATCAATCTATGTAACAAGAGTTATGTCCCTTGATATCGTAACAGTAGTAAACTGTTTTCTTTTTCTTGTAACAGCTATGGTCATTTTAGGACGTGTGAGATTTTGGTGGTGGAGAAATAACGTTACTATATGGGACTGTTTTTATACTGGAATAAAGAAAGGAAAGAACCCACCTAGGGTATCGCTATACAGCATGACCTTGGTGCATTTTGCATTTATATAAAAAAAAAAAGACTTTATATCGCTCACATGGTATTAAACTCACACGTGTAACCTTAAAAGTGATCTAAAATAAAGCTACAGGCAAAACACCAGTATTTATGACTATAAGAAATGCAAAAGAACCTATTTAAAGATTTTTAAACATTTGAAAGTCGAACAAGGTCATTATATTGAACAAACTCTATAGCCCTTCATCTCAGCATGCAACTTGCCAAATATTGCCACCCTAGACCTTTTGTTTATTGAGATTAGGTCATTTAAAGGTTTATACATATTTGACCAAATTTAAATGTGACCTTGAAAGTGGGCCAATGTCATGCAAATGACTTGATAGTCCTTCATCCAAGCATGCTACTGTCTAAATATCAGCAGTCTGGACCTCATGGTTATTCAGAAGAAGTTGTTTAAAGATTTTAAACAAATTTGACCCCTGTGACCTTGAATAAAAATAAAGGTCATCCATTGGACCAGATTTAGTAGCACTTCATCCCAGCTTGTTACGGCCAACATATCATCATCCTAGGCTTTTTGGTTATTCAGAATAAGTCGTTTAAAGAATTTAAACAAATTTGACCCATGTGACCTTGAATAAAGGTCAAGGTCATTCGTTTGAACAATCATGGTAGCACCCTTCCCGGCATGTTACGGTTAAATATCAGAAGAAGTCCATTTAAGGTTTTTTTTCAGTCAACTGACCCCTGCGACCTTGAATATGAGTGAAGGTCATTCATTTGAACAAACTCGGTAGTCCTTTATCCCAGCATGCTACTGACCAAATATCATCACCCTGGGCATTTTGATTATTCAGAAGAAGTCGTTTAAAAGATGTTTGAACATATTTGATCCCTGTGACCTTGAATAAGTTTGCTTGTGGCCAAATATCATCACCCTAGGCCTTTTGGTTGTTAAGAAGAAGTTGTTTAAAGTAAAACATTGACGTCGGACGACGGACGCCGCACGTGAGCTAAAACGTTAATATCTGGGGAGATTGATCATCTCCGCCTTTGCCGATTGCCTAAAGTAGCTAAGCAACAAACATGTGATTTCATGAATGACTTCTGTATATTTTGCCAATCATAACGTCATACAATTATTTTTTTCAATAATTGTCGCAGGTATTCGCTATGAGTCGAACCTGCGACTAACGACAACAATGAGCTATTCTCCTACATGACCAATGTTTCGAACTTTTATAACGTGAACACTTACAATACATTAGGAGTCTAATTTAGGTCAAGCCATTAAGAAATCATTTTCGCTTAAATGTCAAACCAGGAACTATCAATAATGATAATTTAGTCGAAACCGGGACTTAAGCTACAGTAGGCTAACTCAGAGTCGAACTCGTGACTAACACCACGGACTTAATTCCGTGCTAACACCGACAGTGGTGACCATATCGGAACATAATTTTCAGTAGGATACAGCGAGGGAAGTTCTTTCTCAAACACACCTGAATGCTTCTTCCAGATTCTCGCTGTCAAGAGAGTTTTGGGGTTGGGAGCCGTCGGCACTTTCCGCAAACAAGAAGGTAATTTCCCGTTTACGGAAAGCGCTGAGAGTTCCCGATTGAGCGGGACTACGATCTGACGTAGTCTCGTTCAACCAGACGCTTGATAACTTGTAATAACCAGACGCTTGATCACTCTGTTCGGCGTAGCTGCAGACGACAAGTCTGATTGAACTAATCTGACGGAAAAATTGGAAGTGTCTTCCGAAAGCCATCGTTAATGATTATGCAACTTCCGGTTTTTTTGTTACAATACGAGAGTCAGAAAACGTGATTCTAAATGTATAGCTTTACAAAAAAATATTTATTTTCGAAGTAAAAGAAAATATGCAGCTCGTAATTCATGTTTATGAATTTCCAAACGACAGCCAATGGCCAGTTGTGGGTTTAGGGTACCCGAATGATGGACACATCTCGCAATACTTTACACAGTTTTGTCTGGACCAGTCGGGAAACGCCGTACAGATAGATCGGCTGTGAATGGCGCAGCTGTCCACCGAATCGGCACAGCCTTGAACAAACAAAGAAACAAATAAGAAAATATTTTCTTTTAATAATACATTTGTAAAAATAATTCGAGGTTCTTAAATAGCGCTTTTATCACAACCTAGTTTGTAGCATAGGTCGTCTCAAAGCGGTTTACAAATTATTATCTGTGGTTAAAGGGCCTTTGCAATGCAACCAGTCAACATATTTCTCAACTCCCTGGGGAGCATACGGCCGGTGCTGCCATTTCGGCGCTCACATCTAGCATTTATAGCACTGCCCAACCACGTACTCATTTATAGCTGAGTAGACTGGAACAAGCGGAGTAAGGTATCTTGCTCAAAGACACAACACAGTGCCGTGACTCGAACCCGCAACCCTTCGGTCACGAGCCCGGCGTCCTACCAGTTCTAAACTACCGTGCCTCCGTTTTACAATCACAAAAATTCTACTAATTGATATAAAGTTTGCTTGATAACAATACAACTTTAACAAAAAATGACTATTTATTATTTTTGTTTGCGAAACAGTGTCTTGTTAGGTACATACCACCTAACCCGGCTGGCCCAAAAGTAGGTGTCGTCACTGGCGGCAGGGGTACCGGTGCTGTAGTCAGTATCTGTGCCGCTGGAACCACGTGCGCTGTGGTAATCGTTCCCGCCTCTGTAGCATTGCAATCGATGGAACAAAAATTGCACATCAAGCATATGGTCCTCTTACCCACGAGCCCCATCATGGACTGGGTGAGCTTACCTACGATGATATAATACAATAGTACATACATATACTACGCACAGCTACTGTACATGTACAACATACACCCCTGTAGGTCCTGGGGAAGCATTGCGTGTCACTAGAACGTTAAACCCCAATACAAACAAAACACATAGTACTCTTAATAATTAAAAAATCCTGTACTTACAGCAAATGCGTGTAAAAATGGAAAGAGGTATGGCGGAAAACTGCCCAAATGCCCGTAAGTCGGCATGTTTGAAAACGGGGAAAAAAATTAAGGAGTAAAACATTTCGGGAAGCAAAAATGCATACAAAAGATAAAAAAAAAAACCAATTGAATATGAATTTTTAAACTGCTGAGAAATTAGGTATTGCTAATATGATACTGCAAATATAGCCATATACACTATATCTATAAAGTGATGGGGTTTCCCGGACTTAAAAAAAATACTTTCAACACTTTCCCATCCGAGGACCAACTTTTGAATAAACTTTTTGTGACCGTGATGTAATTTGCAAAAACAAATCGTATTATGGAAAAGTGGTCCTCCTTTGGGAAAGTGCTCAAAATAATGAAAAACAGGGGTGATCAAGTTTCTCTAAACTGCGACCGGTGTTTCTCGGGTTAAATAAGTTTGTAACTGCCAACATCTATATGTTCTATGTAGCCGAATGTGTAACGCAGTTTACTTGCGACTAGAATTTAAACGGTGCAGGTTCGAATCCTCCTTCAGTTATATTTTTTTTAGGTATGTGATCATTTTCCTTTATAAGGCAATAGTTTTTTTAAATCGATGGAAAATTTTGTTTTCATTTTAATAACATACCTATTGATTTATCAGTTTTGTTAGTAATAATTTCTTTACTATTTAGTGCGACATACTTCTATCGAAGCATGTCAACAAATCCCTGTACATGTGTACAGTACAGCTACGCTTTGCAGGTAAGACTATTTTTGATAAAATTTATGAATTGTTTTACCCTCCAACTGGCAATAGTAATTATATCAAGTGCTTAAACACAAACAAATAATGCCGAAATACCAAATATGTGGTCTGTTTACAATAATCTATTCTTAGACACGGGATTCCGATATTGCTACCTGTATAAAAATACATGAGGACGCGTCATAACAGTGCACGGTTGGATGTGCGCACTAGCGTAACATAGCTTTGGGGAAATAGGCATAGCAACCCGCCATATCTCTTTATAGTGATGTGTTATTTTGGTTTGCTTGTGTTTGACGTACTTTTAACAGCTATGGTCATTTAAGGACGTGCCAGATTTTGGTGGTGGAGGAAAGGCAGAGTTCCCGGAGAAAAACCACCGACCTACGACCAGTACCTGGCGACTGCCCCACGTACCTCTTGAACCCGCGACCAAATAGTGGAGGGCTTGTGGTAGCAGATTGTCAGACGCCTTAACCACTTGACCACCGCGGTCAATATATGGTGCTATATGCATTTTACTAAAAGATATATGTCAGTTTTGACAACAGCTGAGTCTATTTCCGGCACCACATGATAAATCCAGATTTTGGTTTGGTTACAATTTTCATTGAGAAGTAATTGAGTTATGTTCCACATTGGTTAAGTTCTCCTTTCTGTCTAATGCCGGTTATAGCTCTTGGATTATATTTTTTCTCTTTCATGTATATTTGATTTTTATTGAAAAAGATTTTGTGTTTGTTTTAATTTTAATTCTAGCTTTTCCATAGGGTCACACTATAAAACAGTCACAAGTGGAAAGGTGTGGCATTCGAATATCTTAAGTTGCACGCGAGTCCGTAATTGCGTAAAAATACTTTTCTTTCTTAGGGTTTCATTATTCAAACATACTTCAAGATTCTGGACAGTTTTATATTTTTTGAATGTCTACAATTTTAATTGTATTTCTATGACGGCATTTCTAAAAATTGTGTGGAATTTTATTAAGTTCATTGTATATCCCTTTTATTTGTCTCATAAAGAGATATTTGTGTGTTCTGATATTTTTTTTCTCTCTGATTATATATCCAAATAAAGGGAAGTAACTCGAGCTGCCAAACCCCAAATTTGTTTCGGCTTACTATATCCCCTAAAATACCTGCTGGATAGAGAAACATCTAGATAAATGGTGACTTGATTATCGAGTTTCTGTTATACATATATATATATATATATATATATATATATATATATATAGTAGATAATATATAAATGTCCTTGCTAAGGAAAATATAGAATAAAAACATAAATTTTTCAGATCGTCCGCTAGGCCTTTCTGCCTTCTAGGGCTTCTTCAGGCGCTTAAAGAAGCCCTAGAAGGCAGAAATGCCTAGCGGAAGATCTGAAAAATTTATGTTTTTATTCTATATATATATATATAGTTGTAAACTAAGTTAAGACCACACCAAACTGCACTATATACATATTGTACCGGCGCATACAGGTTGTGCATAGTTGGCCGCTGATAAATAAAAAAGGACTTATAATTACGGAACAAGAAAAGAAGGAACGTCTACCGAGGACGAATTCTGTTAGATTTGGGAAAAAAATCACTCTCTTAAAAACGTCTTTTCATATAATTATTTTGTCTGCTTCGTTTTAAAAGCAAAAGACAAATGCTAAGGGAAACATACCAAACTTTTAGAAAAAAACGAATGCATATCAAATGACCGCTGATTATTTCTAAACTTTCAGTCTAATAGTTGGTATGTTTTATGTCCGTCAACGGGAGATAGTTTTCCTTGAAATAAATTCGCAATAAAATGAACGCATTCATACATTATTATATAAGGTATTATAATGTTTACCATGCAAATATATACATAGCTTACCTTATTCTAGAATTTTCAAGAACATACCTGGAAGAATGAGATTCTACAATTATGTAACATGTTACATGTTACTTACCAAACTTGCAGTGACAATCAATGCAGAGTTGTACAAAACAGGTCAGATCTTTCCCTGTAAATGAAATGGAAACTTTTCTTAGTGTTGCTTCCCTTTGTTATGTTTATCGTTTGTTTGATTTATCGCGATCTGAATATTGTACCAATTGGACCGGTTCGACCAAGAATGGAAACGTCTCTTAGTGTTGCTTCCCTTTGTTATGTTTATCGTTTGTTTGATTTATCGCGATCTGAATATTGTACCCATTGGACCGGTTCGACTATAATGGAAACATCTCTTAGTTTTGTCTCCCTTTGTTATGTTTATCGTTTGTTTTGTTTATCGCGATCCGAATATTGTACCAATTGGACCGGTTTGACCCAGAATGGAAACGTCTCTTAGTGTTGCCTCCCTTTGTTATGTTTATCGTTTGTTTTGTTTATCGCCAATCTGATTAAAATCATATGCTACATGGCTTCGTTAACTTTATACTACGTCTAAACATCGTTCAGGCGGAGCCATGTAACAGATGATTTTAAGGTCATTGGAGTGTACTAATAAAAGGAAACAGGCAGTACATCCCTAGTTGAATAACCAATGTAGGGAGACAGCATCACAATTTCCGCAAATTCTAATGTTTAATATTAAATTGATGAATATTGTATGTTTATTATTGATAGAACAGTGTGTTCTCTCAATATTAAAGTATTTCAAAGCAATCTAGGCATTAATTCAGGTTTTTTTTAAATAATGAGTCACATGTGTCCATTTTTCTGTACTTCAGGAAACCGGCTACCTACTTCACTACTGTGAAGGTTTTCAAGAACGATAACTCTTACCTGCAATTACTATGTGTATCTGGTTTTATAATAAAATGTCAATTTTGATATCGTGTATAGAGAATTAATTTAACACAATTACAGCATTTATTAAACTGATATACATTAATGCAATACTTATATATGTCAAGATCATTTTTATTGACATAATTTTGTAAAAATATTGTGTCTTTCATTTTTTTTTCAAAATTCACTCCTTTTTACATAAATATCCATTTAAAATCCTTAAAATTCTGACAACCTTTATTTTTTTTGTGGCAGAAAATTTTCTTTACTTTAAATCAATATAACTACAAAATTTGAAGAAATTCTACTGAGAAATGTTGACACAATCCTATTACCTTAAACAAATTGGTTTATCGCGATCCGAATATTGTATTAATTGGACCGGTTCGACCAGAATGGAAACGTCTCTTAGTGTTGCTTCCCTTTGTTATGTTTGACGTTTTGTACCAATTGGACCGGTTGTACCAGATTTTTTAGTTTTTGAAACAAGGTCGGACCTAGTAATCTGTTGCTGCTTTCGGCTGCTTACAAAGCCTTGCAAGGCCTGTATTTTCGGTTGAGGGAGGAGGGGGTTGTCTATCATAGTTTCGAGTGCACATGCAATTATTCCTAAAGCTATTGTCTTAATTTCATTTATGAAAAAAACGGTGGTTGCACGAAAAGTAAAACGGCGTACGTAACAGTGAGATTATATGTAGGTAGCGGATAAGAGGAATATAGACTCTAGTAAGTATAAGTGATTGATACAAATTAAGGAGGGGCATAGACAGACATGGTTGGGAGGGGGTGTCCTACTTAAATTAAAACAATATTTATTATAACTGTACCGTAACGTGTCTATTCATAGGGAAAACATAAATATGTTTATCTTTGATGTGCGATGTTCAAAATCATTTTTCTTCTACATGCTTTCAAAATGCATATCTTACTTTGAAGGTATGATTCATTTTTGCTGATTGAGTGGTTTGTCGTGTACATAGGATTGGGTCGATCAGTTGACGGGTTGGCGTGCAAAGATTTGGGCGTAGTCTGTGAAGTGGGTGTGGTCATAGGGATGGGCTTCCCTGTCGAAGCATCACAGCGTGTCCTGTACATTTCGTCCGCCTTGTTGCTATGTATGTAACCGACCTGGAATATAGATATAATGGATATGTTGGAACATGGGACGAATATTTTTTTCTTAGAGCAATCGTTACTCGCGCCATATCTAACGAGAGTTTGGAACAATCGTAAGCTACGATAATATAAATAATATCTCATTAGTCGGGGGCAGGGAATGTCACGGGTCCTTGTGACGCCACCCTTGGATACGCCTCTGGTACGTGTAAAAACTAGGTCAACTCCGTCAAAACTCGTGTTTAAATCCGAGCCATGACGGAATAGGCCGAGGTGTTGTTATTTGAAACTGAAGTATAACTGTAAAAGAGAGATATTTTTGTTTACATGTGAAATACTCGCATGTAGTTATTAGCAGTAATTGTCCTACGATAAACTGTTTTATTAAGGATCTAACTAAATAAGAAGCATACATTGTACAAGTCTTTTTGGGTGCTTTTTTAGCGTGGATCTACAACGATGTTTTTTTCCGTCATTCCACAGCAAAATGCAAAATTGTGAAATAATGACGTACATGTACGTCACTGGTTTGATGAGTAGAAAAAAATCATAACAACTATACAAGAATTGACCCTTGAAGAATACAAGTCAGAATATTTTAGTCAAAACTATCGCTTAAAAAGTATTTTTTCCCCCTTTTGTGTAATATTTCCTATCTCGCATTATTGTAACTATTAAGTTTCCTACCAGGTTCGTTTCTTACAATGATATTGCGATAACTCTTTTCAATACACAACAAAGTGATGATTACAATCTTCACAACAGTTGGAGAGTAATCCGGGTATCAAGTACCTCTAAATCCCTCATTATTACAACTCGAATACCTAGCCCGACCTTGTCCGCCCCACAACAGCAACAACGAGAACGGGGTAGGAGACCTGTGGTCAGTCTGACAAGCTAAGTCAGCTTAATATTATATTTGAGCAAAATTTGAGTTATTAAATTTTCATAATTATTAGAATCTTAACATAAACATGCATGTGTTGGGATTCAAAGAACCTACCATCAGGTGAAAATGATGACATATCTCATGTTTGTGCAATGCTGTAGGGAATGTCGTAATTTATACAAAAAAAATCAAAAAAAATCGCTAAGTTGACAAAACTTTTTACAATGAAGAACTGTCTGTGTATAATAGTGTATGATCGAAAACCAAACCCATGAAACCTTTATTGTCCCGTCCCGCATACGACGAAATAGTTGTGAAAAATATATCTAGGAAGTTAAGCTTAAAGAGTTTTACACGACTTCCGACATCATATTTTAAATATAGAAATCGCAATGCATGCTGGTTGATTGTTGAATTTGTCACCTTCCAGGATAGTTACCTGGGATGACTCATAAAGCCACATTGTGGCCTCATTCCTATGGGGTCCCTCAGATCTCAATAAATCAAGTACATTGGAACTGGTGTCAACGTATAATAATAATCCGACTCATTCCAGCTTCTCATACATGTAAATGGCGGGCAATGTGCTCGTGATGTATGTATCAATATGCAGGCCACTTGTGCATCATGTGTTATGCAAAAAAGAATGATATTATCGTCAAAGGGCCCAGACACAGAACATAAGCATAGGGGGCATGCGACATAAACTTTAGATATAATGATGTGCATTGCAGAAACACATACTAATTTATAGGTACGTCATACTTTTTATTAACCATTAAATTCTATTTCAGCTGTGCTGGATCTGCTTTTACCTGCCCCAGCACAGAAACTGGAAAGATTTCCGCACGCGCTTCATTGTATCCTAGGTGGCGCTTCAAACATCGACCCGGAAGTAGGTGGGGAAGGAGTCCTTTTACAAATCTTGGATTTTGCAGTGCATTCAATTTGGCGGAGGGGTCATGGTCTGGGGACGGGAAACCATGAATTGGGGAGTAATGTCCCCTGTATTGGTAGCTGCCGGTAATGATCGCTAGAGGGCGAGTTCCAAAGTTGCAGAAGCAGGCATACGTCCTGTCATATGACGTCACTGTTGGTATTACCAGAAGAACAGCTAAATACAGCATGATGCAGTTTTTAAGTCTAACACGACTTCGCTTCGTCTGAAATGAACAATTCAAATTTTAAACTTAAAACTATTAAAAATATGTAAATCTAATTTTCAAAGATAAAATACATTATATATAACCACGGATACTAATTTGTGAACCGCTTTGAGATGACCTGGGTTGTGATAAAGTGGTATCTAAGAACCTCGAATTATTATTATTATATTATCATTTGAATGGTTTCCCTCTTAGAATCGTCTTTGATCTTAGAACAGTATTTAATGTACCTCTTAGAACAATATTAACTAAAAGAGCATTCTTTTCTCTCAGAACGATCATCGGTTTAGACCATTTTAAAAAGAAAGAATGGCACTGGTCATTGGTCAGGATGTTGGGAGTTTGAAAAATCAGAGAATTAATATAGCTCCCATTACCTGCATAAATATTACGTGGAGAAGGAGTAATTTATGTTTTTGAAATAGACTCAATCAAAAAACAGGTTGAGGGCATATCAGTGCAACCTTACTGAGATAGGCACTTCCATTCAGAAAGAGTGCTGTGATACACACACGCTTTTGTAAGGTACACAAGAATGTAACGTTTGCACAAATTGAAATCATTTAAACAATAACTGGTTGTCTGGATGTAATTATTGTTGATATAATTACAAGTGGCCTCTGGCAAATCCCATAAAACCCGCTAGGCNCTCAAAAACATTTCAGGCGGCCATTTTGTTTGTTTACATATTCCTACACCTGAAACAGGCAGTTGTAATTATAGTCGAGCAGTTGTAATTATAGCCTATATAATTACACTTGCCCTCTAACACTGTTGTAATGGGACGGCGCGGGGGCAAATGTAAATATAATGTGTATGGTAGCATACTGCCTTGACTGTTTCGTTTCATTCATCAAAAAAAGAACGTTTCAGAACATACGAGCAGCTTAGTGATCAACTATATAAAAAAAAATGTTTACACGGACAAAGCTTGTGAGAAGATGTACGTTTGTAAGAGAACAAAGCAACTACTGATCAATAAAAACAACAACGTAACAACACACTCGTCATTGATTAATTGAAATGTACGTGTTCTCAACCTCGTCGGCAATAAATAAGACGACAGCGGCCCCTGGTGGTAAAGCATCTCAATTACCCTTTTTTCAGGTGACGTCTCACTGCATGACAAAGTAACCAGTCACGTTACCCTATAACAATGAGCTAGCCACAATTGCTCGGTCAGACAAACAGAGGTCATCGGCCTGCAGACCAGTCAAAGTTATCACAGTGTTCCCAGCGTTAGGACGACCCTGCAGGTCGGGGATTGAGAAAAGAATACACCTGTTAGCCACTGCATGATCGTAAAGGGCAACTAATGTGGGAAACTCCTAACAGAATTGGAGATTTACGTTTGTGCCCTCTACATGGTGACACAAAAGCTGCACTCATTGCAATATTTGGGATCTTTGTATTTTTCGCTATTTATGAATGACTTTTCATGGCAATGCCTCACTTTTGGCTTTAAGTTGAACGTTCGATCAGATGAGGAAGGCAATGCGTTCTATGGGACATATATATATAAGGACCAAAGTCCTTACAATGATAGTTGTTAGTCCTGCTTAACGTTCATCATAAGGGTAAAGTCTACAACGGGTTCATCCATTGTCAGTATAAAGTGACCGGGCGGGATGCTGTGCTGGGTGCCTTCCGAATGTATACCAGTGAGGTAGCACTATAAAGTCGGCGTGAGATCCGGGCTATCACAAGGAGGCAAATACACCAATATGCCCTGTCTCCAGCATAGGTATCCACATGCACGCACACACAATACACATATAGTTACAATCAACCAACCTTCCCAGCGATAGGACACAGAAGAAATCCGGTATTTGCAGAGGTTACACATTACTCGCCTCGTAGGTTTTTCAAATGAGTGACACAGCAGGCCATATATTCCCGAACCTGTAGGACGATGATGTATATATAGTGGAGGCACGGTAGTCTAATGGTAGGACGCCGGGCTTGTGACTGAAGGGTTGCGGGTTCGAGTCACGGCACGGCACTGTGTTGTATATTTGAGCAAGATACTTTACTCTGCTTGTTCCAGTCTACTTAGCTGTAAATGAGTACGTGGTTGGGCAGCGCCAGAATTGTTGAATGCTAGCTGTTAGCGCCGAAATGGCAGCTTCGGCTGTATGCTCCCCAGGGAGTTGAGAAAGATATTGGCTGGTTGCAAAGGCCCTATAACCACGGATAATAATTTGTGAACCGCTTTGAGACGACCTACGAACTAGGTTGTGATAAAACGGTATATAAGAACCTCGAATTATTATTATTATTATATAAATTAAAATGATAAAAAGTAATACAAACTTAACTATACCTTTCAGTTACTCGAGTGTGTTGCTTGCGTGCTATAATCCTACAACGAATCTTATCTAACTGGGTCTGCGTGCCCCAAGCATTGTTAGTTTTATTAAACCAAAACTTAAATAAATAAAAAATAAAAATAAAAACTTACCATATGTTATTAAATCTACATCTGCGTGTATTCAGAGAGATATATGTGGCTTACATTAAACGTATAACTTTATGCAGAAATATTCATAGATATTTGAAGACAGATTTTTTTTTACAGAAATTAGGTGCTCAAACCATTAAGCTAAATAGACTTTGGGTATATGAGAACGAGGTCAAGCGAGGTTATGCAAATGTTCTACTTAATCATATCTGATCGGCGCTATGTGCAGTAGAAAGACTGCAACCATCTTTTAATTTAGCCTTAAATATACGGAAGACCATTCGGGCCTTACTTGCCGGAAATGCCCGAGTTGTTTTCGATTGTGTTTGATCAGCAACGTTTTCCTGCCCTCGATTTGTCTCATTTTAACTGACAGTTCAAGGTAAGCAACGGCGTATCATACGCATAATATAACAGTCTTCTTTGAGACATCCCTTTTTTACAAACCGGAAGTATATCGTCAGATTTTATAAACTCACGTATTCGGCGAGGATCGTAGTCACGTGATGAAAATATCTGTTTACCTTCTAAAATACACCAACACCAGGTGACTGAAAAGGTAATAAAAACGAGGATGGTCGGATGGCGCTGTGGATAGGGCACTTACCTTTCACCGAGGCGGTCGGGGTTCGATTCCCCCATCGGACGTGAAAAGGCATGGGTCACCTGCTGTGGTTTGTTTCCGGATGCTCCGGTTTCCTCCCACATGAGACTCCCGTACGCTTACATCCGGGCCAACAAGAGTGATTGATATAAGCTGAAATAACTTGCTTCATAACTGTTGTTCAATAATAAACTTCGTATTAATTGAAAACGAGGACAAAAACAAAATGACGGCATATCGTGCACTGCACCAATTATAGTGAATGTGCTATATATCCACTTCAGAGCCTTTTTCCGACTTGCAGTTTTGTCCTCTATATAATGTATATACGTGTATTTAAGATAAAATCAGTACACGTTATAACAGTTTCTTCTCCTTTTTCCTGGTTTGGAATTATCTCATGTTGTAATTTAATTATCTACCATTTTGAAACTGTGAAATTACAATCTCCATTGTATATACATGTAGCAACACTTATTAAGTGTAGGATTGCTATCTTAAATGTGCACTGTGCGGACCACAGGGAGCCTAACCCCTGTGGCCTATATTTATTTATGAACGTGTAGGACTGATTGTGGACATGACGTCCCGGGTCCATCCTTTATAATTTCCGGTGGTTTTTTTCCTTTTTATTTCCATAATTATGCAATATCAATTTCAAAATACCCATGCTTTATATCAAACACTTCTGTAACAAATGCTTAAACGGACATTGCAAAAGAATGCTAGTAGTAATAACATATTTTAAGGATCCCCGTACCACTGCCAAAAAACTATGCAATAGAAACCAAGTTTGACGTCATGCTTGAAGCTTTGATGAATCATAGCTTGTGGGAGTTGTATGGAAAAAATATATACAAATGAAATAATATTTACATATGTTATCAACAACAGTGTTCTGGGTGTAACTATTCATCCGGGCTAGGCCGGGATTCGAACCCTAGATTTTAGATTGTTATACTGACGCTTTTAACTGACTGAGGAGAGTGGAGGGTACAGTATATAAATCGCAATGCAATGGGACGCACAGGGATCTCTAATAAACAGGTTTCCCCTGACCGCGATCTTAACTGCATATTATCAGCTGGAATTATTTCTTATAAAAACAGTCCGACACAAATACAACACCTATTATATATGTGCACGATGGCAATGCCTGCGAATAGTGCTAGATATTAATGTTATTGAAAAACACTGTCGGCTAAGCAGATTGTTGTTTTAATACGTAGGTGGAACTCGTTTAAGCGTGAACTGAAGGTCGTGGCCACAATGGACGTTTTACACCCGGTAAATACCACAGTTATTGATACAAAAGATAAATACACAAGATAAACCTCGCCGTGTCTAACTATCAGCCGGATCATTCACCGTGTCGAAATATATAAAAGAATTTGTATAGAAAACATCTCCACCTCAAATTATCTCCACCCCGAACACTGTACCATACGACGTGTATGAAGAATGATGTCCGAAGACTGGTCATCTTCCAGCACGCGCTAAGATATGTGCTTTAATCTCACCACAAGGTCCAGCTGGGTAATTCAGGATTCCAATGACCATGTAAACAGATAATGATCAAAGATGACCGTCAAACGTTTGCATGAAAGTAAGAAAAATATATACGTTTCATAGCAATAAAGTAACAATAAAGTTTGACCGCCAGGAACACGACAATGGGATATCACGCTGGTCATTACGGCCAAGGACACGGAGAGGTACGACGGTCATTAGTAAGGATTACGGTCCTGAACTTCTACTATTACTGACCACCAGGAATTCCAGCAAACTCAGTTACTCTGGCCATCAGCGTCGCGGAGCCCTGACCAACTGATTGTAGACAAGGTATTCCCTCCTCATAGGTAAGTGTACCTTTTTGAACATTTTGTTTCTATATTTTCTCTAATCATAGTTTTGCAGTTAAGCCCAATAACTACGACGAAAAATAATTGCATGTATATGATTTATAATTATTGAAGAATGAAAAGCAGTTTTCAAAAATGGTTTTTGGCTGTGTGGTTGTAATCATTTTGCCCAAACCGAGTTGAAGGCAGCTTCACTGTTTTTAACTGAACATATTGCCCAATTTTTAATTATTAGTAATTAATAAAAAAATATATGTAAAAGTGCATATAAATAACATATTTAGTTTTTTAGGATAAGTCACAGGACGTGCATGTGAGATGTTTCCCATTTTAATTACTATGAAAGTGATTTCGATCCTTATTCTATTTAACATTTCAATAATAAAGCTTTGTAATTGAGTTCTGGACGTTTTCGTAAATTTTAAAATATACAACATTCCGTAATATGTATCTACTGTCGGAACGGGGCTACTCGGATCACGCATTATTTTGAGAGGCGGCAGTTGGTATATCGTCCCTTTTTTATTGCGTCGTTTGTAATTGTTAAACTGGATCTGATGGATTTGTGTAATACTACATGACAGTCCACACCCAGTGAAAAGATGTTCTTTCTGCAAACCATATTTAACGATAATTAAACGAAAAGGACCAAAGCAATAATTCCCACGAATATTACCTATCGCAATGTCTATCTTTCAGGCGATTTACCCCGTGAATCGGCTTAAACATCTGTTTTACCGTTTTTTAACCCTTAAGGTGAATTTCGACCTGATAAAATAATATACTTTCTACATTTGCACGATAACAAACATATTTGATAAAGCTTACTTTTGTTTCCGACTTAACGTTTGTTTGTAATTGGCATTGATGTAACGCTAGTGCACAAAAAAAATGTTCTTATTATTTAACGGTTTTGCGTTTTGATGTGTTTTTTCTTCTTTCCCCATGTTCCCATTTTTATTGTTAGTTGTGAAGAAGATAATATATATAGACCGAATGAAGTATTGTAGTACCGAAATACAAGAAATAATCTCCGGTTCTTAAAAAAAAAGAACATGCTGGCAAAAAAGGGGACATTTTGTTTCCTTATCTTCGAATTTTTTTTGGACTCCTGGGATATGTCATGTCAAAATCGATGACGCAATATTGTGGATGATGCAAGTAAGGGTAAAATTGACCAGCTTGGTATTTGGATGTAATGACATGTTCCAGGCGTGCAGACAAAGTAAATGAGAAAAACCCATTGAACTTAGAGAGTGCACGTTACCCCTGAATGTGGTGTGGCCGCGACAGTCTTAAATCTACTGAATATCCTTTTTTTTTTACATATTTCTGGAGCACGACAGCAATCTACCTGCACACAGATTATATAGAGTTACAACATCAAACACATCGTTCTTAAGCACACCAAGTGCTGTACCGGGGCCAACCCAGGCCCCTCCGACCGAGGCCTTCGCAGGCCAGGCTCCCTCTTCAGATGCTCCCATTTCCGAACCCCGAATCCCAACTTTCAACTCTAGTGTCCCACTCCTAACTCAGGACTACTTCTTAAATCTTCCCTGAGTACTTTTAACAATCTATCCAACATAAACTATTCATGAGTAGGTACCACCTAATGTGCAGAAGTAATGATCTGACTTCTAATCTAAATTCTCAGTTAACTTTTCCCTTCCAAAAAAACAATACTAAATGTACCATCAGGGATTAATGCGGGAATAGAACGTTGTACCTTTTTTCTGAAATAGGGGAAAATATGCACAGAAGGTGTATATGTACGACCAGTGTCCAACGAGGGCTGCATGATAGAGCCAGGGGGAGAGTACAAAGGGAGGGTGGGGGTGGGGGGGGGNGGGGGGGGGAATCATCTTTAATTTTTGTTGTTCTCTGTTCATAATATATGCTTCGAATTAACCACCATATATGCATTAGAATAAAGCGTTTGTGTGACTGTGATGTTATTGTAAACAGAAAACAGTGCTAACTGTGCTAACTGTGCTAACTGTACTAACTGTGCTAACTGTGCTAACAGTGTAGCTAACTGTGCTAATTGAGATAACTGTGATAACTGTGCTAACCGTGCTAACCGTGCTAACTGTGCTAACTGTAAATAGTGTTGCAAAATATCAGCAGTGACAATTAACATGAACATATGGAAAATGCAATAAATCACTCAGTCGTGGTGCTGACGGAAAATAACAACAAAATGGAACCAAGATAGATATTTAGGTGGTAGTATCTTAGTTACATGTGGGGGATTTTCTTTAACTAAAATGGGGGAATGTAAAGCTGCAACGGGGGAAAATAATACAAAATTTGGTGAGGGGAATTGGCCCGAATTCGACCATAAAAAGGCCTTATATATCCATGACCATATGGCAGGTACACCTGTCTGTTTTGGGGAGTTCACACTATTATTCCCATCTCTATGTCATCCATGACGGACCTGGTCGCCACTAGATGAATAGCCCTATAGCACTCACTATCTACAATGCAACAGTCCCCCGTCAATCAATTCACAGTGTTACCCAAATCATAAGATTTAACCCCAAATGTACTTTGGACAAACGTGCAGCTCTCTATTGATACCCACTATCTCACATGTAGTTCAATTACTTCTCATTAATTACCTAATTTTAAGTCATTTTGTTACATGAACGCGCTTACTGATTTTTCGAAAATGCAAAATGATTGTTGATAACAGGCTATTTTTGTCCATTTGTAGCCAACATACTGGACCAGAGAGGCGCGTGCATGACCATGCATTGTACTGTTTTCTTTGTTGCCGCCATTGCAACCCTGGCAAGGGGTCGGGAGTCTTCAATTGTCAACACAGATATGGGCACACTACGGGGTTTTGCGATTCCCGCAAAAAATAACGAGAAGAGGGGCATTGTCCACAGTTTTTTAAACATTCCATACGCCAAATCCCCCGAGGGTGATCTAGCCTTCAAAAAGCCACAAGAATACGGTCCTTGGACAGGAGTCAGAGACGCTACCGTTGACGGGCCTGTGTGTATACAGGGGTACAAATTTCCGGGACCACAGTCGTTCCCCGAAGCCATTGACTGTCTGACATTGGACATCCGGGTACCTCACAATGTCTCGCGCTCCAATAATCTGCCAGTAATTATATGGATACATGGAGGTGGGTATTTCTTCGGCGGCACCCGTTATACCGACGCCTCTGTATTTTCCGTGCTCTCAAACACTATTGTCGTAACTTTTAACTTCCGCCTCGGCATATACGGGCTTCTCTCGACTGAAGACGCCGAATGCCCGGGAAACTTTGCTTTATGGGACCAGAAGATGGCTATAGAGTGGGTTAACAAGTATATAGCCGCTTTTGGAGGTGATCCGTCGCGCACAACACTGCTTGGACATGCCACGGGCGCAAATGCGATATCGCACCACGCCATGATGCCGGACAACATTGGACGATTCCAGCGCGTGATTCTCATGAGCGGATCTGCCACACAACCAGGAGATTGCATTGCAAACCCACGGAAAAATTTGATAAAACTTAACGCGGAGATAAAATGTGGTGACTACACAGAGGAGAACCTAGACACCAAGGCGTTCATGGCGTGTATTAGAAGTAAAACTCCCGACCAGCTTGTTGCATCCATAACAACATATGCTGAAAAACTTATGACGCAATTAAACGCTATTAAAATAGACATTTTTCTTGGGGTTGTCGTAGACGGAGACTTTATACGGGATTTTCCATCTCGGATACTGGCGGACAAAAAATCCCCGGAATATAGCATGTTTCGGTCCCTTGATGTTTTAGCGGGGAATGTGGAACAGGAGGGATCCATCGTAGCCAGTCTGCTTGTTGGAGATATGAGGACAAGATGGAACCTTACCGAGACTATAGAATTCTCAACTGATTTCATGTGCCAAGAACTAGCGCCGATTATTGCGAAAGATCTGTACAACGTGACGTCACCGAATGCGACACAAGCTGTGTGTGATAGATACACCGTTGAGGGCGGAAATGACGTCAACATCCTCAATCAGAGCATTGCGTTCTCAAACATGTACGGCGATGTCTTGTACGTTGCTCCCGTCGTCGAGATACTAAAAATGCATTCCCGGGACAACCTGGAGACTTCCACGTACCAATATATTATGAAGAAGGAATATCCGTATGGGTATTACTTCGGGCGTTGGCCCTGGCAGTTTGGAGTAGGACAAGGCCATGATTTGTCTTATCTCTTTGATGTTTATGCTTATCCATACATGATGGTCGAAGAAGACCTTGACATGTCATTGAAGGTTATCACGTGGTTTGCAAACTTCGCACGCAATGGGTAAGTATAAAATTACATTAATTATCCTTCCTTTATGTACCGCATTTTCCTTTTGCCGATTAAACATTAAAATATCAACCTTCTTGAATTTCCCCTTAAGGATCCCTGTCCCAAAACAGGCAAAACAATAGTGAATTCCACTGAAGTAATGATTTTTTTACGTTATTGAGCCATAACATGTTATAAAAGAAATACACTCATTTTGTATTTTATGGCTCAATAACGTAAAAAGTTCTGTTCTTATATAAATTTAAAACGATTAAATATTTTCAAACATTTTATTTGATTAATCACGCATCAAATGATGCAATACTAAAAAATGATTAAAAAAAATACGCCGACGTCTGACAAAACTGTTTCCATCATCCAATCATAACGCTTGTTACAATTATTTCGTCCGAAAGTAGTTCTTTCGTCAGTGTTTAGCTCACCTGCCCGAGGTGCAAGTGAGCTTATGCCATGGTGCGGCGTCTGTCCGTCGTCCGTCCGGCGTCAACCTTTTAACTTAAACAACTTCTTCTTAATAACGAAAAGGCATAGGATGATGCTATTTGGCCAGTAGTATGCTGGGATGAAGGGCTACCAAGCTTGTTCAAATGAATAACCTTGACTTGCATTCAAGGTCACAGCGGTCAAATATAAGTAACCCCTATAAACAACTTCTTCAGAATAACCAAAAGGCCTAGGGAGATGATATTTGGCCAGCAACATGCTAGGATAAAGGGCTAACAAGTTTGTTCAAAATAATGACCGTGACTCATATTCAAGATTACAGGGGTCAAATATGTGTGAAACCTTTTAATAACATCTGAATAACGAAGAGGCCTAATGTGATGATATAGGCCAGTAGCATAATAGGATAAAGGGCTACCAAGTTTGTTCATATGAATGATTTTTTTTTCCATTTTCAAGCTCACAGGGGTCAATTATGTTAAACTTATTTTAATGACTCCTTCTGAATAACCAAGAAGCCTAGCTAGGGTGATGATTTTTGGCCAGTAACATGCTGGGATTATGGGCTACCAAGTTTATTCAAATGAATGACCTTGACCTTAATTCAAGGTCACAGGGGTCAAACACGTTGAAAACTGAAAACAACTTTTACTTTATAACCAAAAGGACCAGGGTGTTGTTATTTGGCCAGTAACATGCTGGGATGAAGGGATTCCAAGTTTGTTCAAATGAACGACCTTCACCCTTTTTCAAGGTCACATGAGTCAAATATGTTGAAATCTTTAAACAATTTGAACAATATTCGACCAGAAGCATACTGGGGTGAAAGGCTATACGTCCGTTCAACTTAATATCCTTGATTGACTTTCAAGGTCACAGGTGTCACATGTTTAAATCTCTTCATAGATTCTTTTGAATCAAACACCGATATTCTGCCTGTAACTGTATGTTAGTTCACTTATAGGATTACAAGTGTGAGATTAATACCAGGTGAGCGATTCAGGCACATTAGGCCTTGTGTTTTATGGTATGAGCTGATAACATAAAAAAACAATAGAAAGGCTTGTTTCAAACAGAATTAAATTATATAAACTATATAACTTTGAACTATACAAAGCTATGTATTTTTCACGTAGCCTGGAATAAACCATTTCTGTTGAATTAAAGACGCAAATAAAAATCTTAAAAACAAGATTGTAAGAAATATTCATTGGGTTGTGTACTATACATTCAAGCTAACTTTTGGTTTTTCTTATACATACATGTACATACAAATATGATTATATATTTTCATGTTTTCCTCTCTCCATCACAAATTCTATTATCATTTGGGGTTTTCACCAATAAATGAACAGACCTCTTTTTTTGTCATATTTTTATTCTTCATGTCATTGTTATCGTTACCAAGAAAAGAAAAAAGTGATATCTTTAAAACGATAGATATGGGCATGTTATAGAACATCAGACATTCAATATTGCCACCATGGCTTAAAATATTCACCAGCAATAAAACGGATAAATGTTTTAGCAATGCTTGTGATGCCGTAGTTTGGAAATCTCGGCCACATATTCAAGCTTTGCAGGGAAACGTTTCAAAAGTTTACTTAACAGCGGCCGCCGAATCAAGCTTTGCTATTTCAAAGCTGATTGGCTAACCTTACACTCTTTGAAAGTATTGCATGCCTTCAATGTTTGTAGGGTAAAATCTGACCATAAAAAATATGCCGGTAGATCGTTTCACCTGCTACACACACTAACGGGGTTAAGTGTGAATTTATTCGCCTTCTCACTCCTATACACGTTTGTAAAAAGTGACATTTTTTGAGGTACTGCATTTTCTGTAGACATTGACTACTTAGGGACATTGATGAAACTAATCTGTCCTATCGACTGATATGTGAAACTGACTATCTTGGCAGCATTGGTCGGTGCAACGAAAGACATACTATGGTGTGTTGTATTAAACTGCTTTAAGATGTTAAATCAGGTGATATTCTAACTTGTGTTTTTCAGTGACCCAAACTCTGCGAATCCAAATGTCACCTGGCCTAGGTATACATATGCAGAGAAGGCGTACCTCGATCTTGACGTAGTTTCTGTCCCCCAGAAAAATCTCTGGCCAGAACGAATGAACTTCTGGTTGGATACGTTTCCCCGACTTGTGGCCGCCATCTTGGCTCCGCCAACGACAACGACAACAACTAAAACTACAACCACGACAACTACAACAACCACTACAACCACGCCTCGACCAACCACTCCCAAACCCGTTGTAATTACGCCCGCGCCCACTCAGCCAGGCAATACCGGAAATGACGTCAATGCAGGAAATGGTGTAAACGCTGGAAGAAGAATAGGTTCTGGAGAATACATGCTTGTTTTTGTGTTCGCGGTTGTTTTGCTTGGTTTGTAATAGGAAAAAGCGACAAGGATCTATTTTTGCCAATAGACACTATCATTTGGTTTATCTCTGAAAAAGTGCTCGTCTTTTGTTTCAACTTCAACGAGCGCGTCCTTTTGGAAATGACATCGTGTGGTTGACATAAACATACACTATAGATTAGTAATCGTGTAAGTTACTTATTACTGGAAATACTTTTGTCATTGAATAACATTAAGTGTTCTTAAGCGAAGACTTGGTTCTTCCAACATTTATTTGTATAATATTTGTATACCTTCTGGAAATAATATTGCCTATTTTATGACATTTGAGATACGGTATGATTGTGTCAAAATATCCGCAACCCTAATGATGATCTAGTGTCTTAACAATACATATGTTTTGTTATGATACATTATTGTCTTAATGATACAGACATGTCTTAATTATACACACGTGTATAAATGATACAGAAGTGTCTTAATGTTACAGACATGTCTTAATTAAACTATACAGACGTGTATTGATGGATCAAGGGTGTCTTAATGAAACAGTTGTGTCTTAATCTGAAAAAGTGTCAATGATACAGATGTGCCTTAATTTGAAAAAGTGTCTTAATGATACAGATGTGTCTTAATGTGAAAAAGTGTCTCAATGAAACAGCTGTGTCTTAATAATACAGGTGTTTATTTATGGAGCATAAGTGTCTTAATAATACAAAAGTGTCTTAATGATACTGAAGTGTCTTAATGAAACAGAAGTGCTTATCTGAAAAAAAGTATCTAAATGAAATGTTGGTATACCTAACTGGTTTATTTACGAATCGTCCAATTTTATTTTTACAACAATTTAAATAATAATCAAGGAGCATAAAATCAATAAAATATATGCCTATCAGGATTACTTTTCGGATATACATATACGGAACAGAAAGTTAGGTAAAAAGTTGGTCCATATGTACTAGACACTTTAGTTTGAAAATTGATATTGCTAGCCACTCCTTTTTATCTAAGTCTTATGATTGAACGCTGGAAAATTGCTGTATCTTCTTTCGCATAAAATATTGAAAAAAAGACTCGTAATGAAATTATTTTTTTATTGACCTGGAAATCTCCAATGATTACAAACTACATACTTTATAGAATGTGTCCTCACTGGGCTAAAACAACTACAAGGCACATTTGTCTCTAAAAGTTTATATTATTTGTATTGTTATTCCTTAACTCGTAATTCCATTTTCGATGTAGCGCGACTGGGCTGGGGTATACTGTTGTTCACCAGATGGCGCTGTTATTGAGAGCGGCAATATACAATCGGGAACCGTCGGCACTTTCCGTAAACGAGAAAGCGCCGACGGTCCCTGATTGTGGCAATATAATGATAGAAAGTAAAAGGATCGAAATCTTGCCTGTACCTGTTGCATTGTTACCATTTTAAACACATTGTTTTTTGTGAGTATGTTAATTTCATCTTCATTATGTTCTCATGAATGTTTTGAAAGTATTTTTTTTCAAAAATGGTTAATAAAAAAATATAGTCACACCGGAAAAAATGCATAGTTACGTTTTTTTGCGGATGTTCAAGGATTCATAAAAAACTGCCGTATAACACACGAGACAAGGTCAAAAGCCCACAAAAACACAACAAAGATGTATAATTATTTGATACTACATTTATTCACATCACAAACTTTTCTGTACATATGAGTATTAAGAGGCACCTATTTCCACAATAATCTACCACAGAAATGGGATTATTGCTGGAAAAAGACAGAAGTCTTTCACACGAGAACAACCCATCATTCATACAATATATTCACACTTAACCTTACAACAGGTATACCAATATTTACAACTATACACTCACATTATATTAGATATTACATTACAAAATTACATTATCTATTATACTGTTCTATTTATAGGTAACACATCAGTTACACATATACAAATGGCAATTAGCCGTATATAATTTACATACAAGTGTTATATACATACATATATATATATATTTCTAAAGGTGTGTCTGTAAAAGCTACAAAAAGCAGGTGAGAAATTTACACAAATTAAAAGCTATTTACAGCATTATCACTATGCGTGTCACACACGAGCTTTGACCATCAGTGTTCATCTTTTCTTTCGACGTTTGTATCAGCTATACATATCGATTATATTACGATTCCCGGGACTTCTCGAGACTCTTCGTCTTTACATTTGACGAAACATCAATAAATAACATCCAACCGATCTTATAAAGTACACCATTTTGCGGAAAGAATAAAAATCGTCAGGTATAGTTACATGCGCATGCGCAATACCCGTCAAAATGAAAAAGTGAAACATTCTGAGATCCGTGTATTAAGCATTATCTGCACTATCACAATACAGCTTTGGAGGGCTCCATTATACAATGGTATATACAAGACGGGGAGATAACTCATACATTGACAGGGTAGTCTCGTTCAACCAGACGCCTGATCACTTGTAACTTGTGAAGACAACAAGATTCTGGTTGAACGAGATAATGACAGGGGAATGAACTATATAAACAGGGGAGGTAATACATTCATGTGTAAGGGAATCACAATTTGGAGGACTGTATTATACAATGATAAATGTATTTAAGGGAGATAAGTCAGACATTGGCAGGTAAACACTGTGTCAACAAGGGAGGTAATACGTTCATATTAAGGATGCTCACAACATAGATATAGAGAACTCAATTACAACATGATTTTTATAATGCAGGGGAGATAACTGATGCAAAAGCAGCGAAAGCAGCTATATAAAATAGGGAGGCAGTGCATTCATGTTGAGAATTATAACACAGCTTTGAAGGGCTCCATTAAACATGATGTATTAAATAAAGGGGAGATAAGCAAGAGGGTAAGGGGAGCTAACTAGATATATCTTAACTATCTTATTATTGCACTATCGCCCTGCCTGATATACCTCGTTCAGAGAACAAGAATATATTTACATATAATATTAAAATTAAAGTTACATATTTTATAAAATCTAAACAAATAAGTTACATAAGGCACACATGCAGCTAGTATACATAGCAACATTCAAACCAACTATGTTGTTTCATAACGACATCACAGAAGAAGCGATGTCATGCTAACAGCGACATCGAAGAGGGGTTAAACAAACTAACGCATACTAAAAGGTTGACTACAATCTCTCTGGCATTCATGCACGTCTTTCATAAACACGTGGTATACAAATATATTGACTTTCATTTCACATAATCATATTCCATTGTCAATGCATAAAATAATACTCTTGAAGTCACGTTTAATCGATTTCACTTTTACAGTTTAGGTATAAACAACCGCGCTTTAAAAAAAGTTCAATCGATTTCACTGACGGGACAATAATTGGCACTATGCGGAACAAGCAAATGATTTAAGATTACAATTGTGCTAATGATTTGCCGTGTTAATGATATAATTAATTAAAATTTTCGTCCGTAACTATTATTTCCTTTCAATTCGATAAATTATTGCCTTCTTATTTCGTTCATTCAACTCTTGCACCACTTTATTATGACGTCATTTCCGGTAATGTTTTACTTGTGGGTAAGTTTCATGACCTTTTCCCATTTGGCCGTCTGGCACTCCTTCGGAACAATGAAATCGTTCGGGTTCGGAATACCCTCGACCAGATCGTACCAGGTAGTGGTAACGGAGTTGGTGACGTTGTTGTCAGATACTTCGACCATTTTTATTGGATAACAGTTGACCAATGAAAACTGTATGTAGAACATAGCATCTGAAAATTGAAGAAAAAATCAAAATAAATACAAATTGGTAGTATTTTTAAGAACTTATTGTAAATTCAGACATTTGAAATTAAAAAGATAAAATTTCTTAAAAGCAATAAGGAGAATGTTTTATTGATTGTGATTTTATGGTGATATCAGGTGATATAATACATAGTTTGTCCAAGCTGCGATTTTAAATCCATATTCAAACACAATTATTTCAGTTCTACAACAAAGTATTATAGAATAAAATTGTCCTTCCGTGCAGTGAAAAGTGGTTCCAGTTTTTTTTCCTCTATAATGAACAGTTTTAAATGCAATGGAAATAATAATGATAACATAAATATTAACTCAAATTCATTTAAAATAGCAGTAAATTTAGCATGTTGTATAGTAAATGAAAATAGTACCTGTAGTGGCGTAGGAATATGTTCCGAGAGTTTTGACCAACCGGAGCACCTTTCGGTTTTATTATACGTGTGTACAGTAATACCATATTAATGACACGGCCGTATGTCATAGTAAAACGGGTCGTTTCTTCTACAATATACTTACTATGCCGGTACGGGATCTTGTCTGACCATTCCTGAACAACGAAGCTTTCCCCTGGTCCTCCAAGAGTCATCTCCCCTTCAAACGTCGCGTTGCCAGGGATTCCGATCGGTCGCCATGGTCGTGGGATGCTCTTTGTGCATTCCCTGCTCTTGATATCGATTTGGTACATCACGTTTTCGTTAGCGAACTCCATGTACACGTAAAATCTGATTATTAGAAAAATGTACAATATTATGTTATCATTTGTAAATCTTAACAACTCATAAATACAATAGAGTTAAAAAGGATAAACTAGACAAATCAATAAACCAGTATGTGTCATGAAGTGGAACAGAAAAAGGACCCGGATGATGCTAGTGACGCAACAGGTAAGTCTAGTTTCTTCAATATTTGACCTACTCCTGTTCCTTATCATGTAATAAATGTTCAAGACAAGGGTGTGCACCTCTGAGAAGAGCAGAATGCAGAAGACATTCATACAATATCTTTGAAGTGCTTTCAAAAATGTAATTTCTTCTAAATTATTGAAGGAAATTTATTCTTAGAAAATCGATTCAGGTTTCCCCTACGCCTCATTTTTTAACGACCCCCCCAAATATATCACCATAACTACTAATTTAAAGCCCGATATAAAACGTTCTGTTATCAAACCTTGTTTATTATTGAATATCAAAACAAAAACGTGTTTCACCTTCTAAAAAATCGACAGGAATTAGTTGGGGGAGGGTTTCCGTGTGCGTATTATGTCATATAATGTTTGTGCTATTTTTCACCTTTTGTGGGGTCATGGAGCTTCAGTTACACTAAATAAGTAAAACCTTACCAGTAATGGATAATTTCCCACTGTTTTACATATTATTTTCATTAAATTGAACATTATAAACTTGTACAGCATAAATCAACTTGCTACAATTAAAAAATGACGTCACAATGACAATTTAAGTGACAGGTCTGGTGTCAAAAATTAAATTTTGCTCGTGGAGCGAAAGAAATACAAATTCTCAGAATGGCCGCTAAACTGGCAATTTCTTAAAAAAAAGATAGAATAAGTTCCGCGAACAACAGGCAAATTGTTTTATTTACAATTTTTTTCAGATGCATGTTTGTTTTTAGAATTGGTCATTATATGTTGAATAGTATAAAAACCCATCAACAAGATCAAACCGCAACTTGAACGTGATTTTAATCACAGAAGTGTTCATCCTTAATCCTTTCACTCCTAGCTAGGTAACATTAGCAGACTCTACCATACATTTATCTGGGTGAGTCCATTGTGGTCCGCCGTGGTGAAAATGATAAGGTAACTTGATAAAGAATTTGAACTTTTGGTCGGATCTATGAGTAGCTGTATGTACATACTTTTGTCCCGGCATTCCTACGTCCATCTCTTCGAACAAGACACGGCGGCGGTTTGCAGCGTCGTAAATGTAGATATAGCGGTTAACGAAATCTGCCTGATGGTCGTAAAGCGACGCTCGGGCCTTCAAAAGGGCAAAAGTAAAATTTCTTATAATTTAAAAAAAAAAAAAAAAATGGCGGAAAAAATCAGCGCATTGGCTTTCATTATCATTTATTTAATGACAGTTTCATCGAAATGTTAAAATTGATTTATTTTTCGAAATAATCTGCAAGAAAATAGTTTGCCACATAGTGCTTTGGTTTTGAAGTATGAACGTATAAAATAATGTGTATTAGATACTGAATGAAAAGGATATTTGAGAAAGACTATTCAACAGATAACTGATTTGAATGTTTGATTGATTGAATGATTGATTGATTGATTGACTGACTGAATGGTTGATTGATTGATTGATTGATTGATTGATTGATTGATTGATTGAATGAATGAATGGTTGATTGATTGACTGACTGTCCCTCTTCAAAATGAGTTCTTATGAAATATATTTCTATAAGTATATCAAATGCAAGGAGAAAGTTATGTTCTTCTTGAGAGGACAAACAATATACAATTATTGAAATCATGTGATTACTCATTGCTTATAGGATCAAATAACGTACAAACAGGAAACTACGTCATAGCCTATAAAACAAATGGTTAGAACAGGCAGTTACGTTAATACTCATGAAATCTATATATAGAATAGGAAACAACGTCTGTTATCTAAAGATCACTCCTTTGCTGCAGACATAACATTCAGTGTATCTCTAACTTGTTCAATCTATACATAAGTACTTTAAGGTTCCGGTTTTGTATCGGTATAATAAAAAGGTTAAATCATAGGCTTGAGGGATAAAGCATGCTTCCTGTTCCTTTCGACCTGGCTTAATGCCCTTGGCTTCGGAATTTTTGTTATTTAAACATATTTCATTGCCTTGAATAGCAACGGGATTGGGCACACGTTATACAACTTATACAAAGCCATTTCCGTTATATATTACAATTATAATCGTCTTCGGGAATTTGAGCTGATCTCGGGGATCCAGAAAGTCGCTAAATCCCTGAAGCTTCCTTTGTACAGACAAAAGGTTATTAAGAGAATGCACAGAGGTTTAAATATGTGAAACTTACATGGAACTGCGACGGCGCTATACATGGTGTAGGGTTCTGTGCCTGAACGGACACAAAACACAACAGAACGGCCAACAAAATCGTCTGTAACATTTTCACCTTGTATCCGATCTGGGGATAAAATTATAACATACCTAATTGATTATATAAAATCATAACATACATAAGTGATTGAAAGTTATACATGTAACTGTTGTGAAATTGGCATGCTGCACTGGAAAAAAATCTCTTGACTCTTGACTTATTTAACATCACATTCACCGTTACATATTATATAAACTTGTCTAACATCATAAGGAATTCTAGAATTGATTAAGTATCATTCAAGACAGATTTTGATAATCACATTTTATATTTCCGTGAATCTTCCCATCTGGCGACATTGTTTACGTTTTTAAAAAAAAATCCCTTTTTTTCCATTTATTTTTGTTTATTTTTATTTTTGAGTTACACTAACGTTCAAATAAATGAATCAAAACACTGAAATACTTCTATGTATCTCAACCAATATTTTTTTGATGTTACAGAGTTCACAGCGAATATGTGTAGAATACCATAGGTGTATGAACGAAACTGTTTTTTAACCGGAAGTTGTGTATTGCAAAGTGATAGCTTCGTCTTCATAGCATGTTTATGTTTACATTCTTGGCCGTACAATTGCTTCATCTAGTGTAATTAGAAACATGTTTGTGCATGGAAATGTGGAATGATACTTTGACATAAACTGTATAATATACGTCCTATGTTTTGTGTACTTAATATTATGTCTACAAGTCCTATATTTTGCGTATATTATACAATAGATGCAAGTCCTATATTTTGCGTACATTTTATTATATATCAATGTTCTATGTTTTGCGTGCAATGAACCCCGTATATTGCCGCCATTTGTACCTCGACATTTCTGACGTTAAAAAGGGGTTTATTGGCGATATATCGAGGATAAGGTATAACGGATTTGTTAAGTAAGGAGAAAAAGAAAATTGTGAAATATGTTGGCGATAAGCGAAGTAGCAAATGATACAAGGGGCATTATATCGAAGTTTTGATGTGCTTGTGCACATGTCACGCTAGAATTATGACAACTGCCACAATTTTGCTTCATTCTTTTAATATATTCCTGTAACACATCTTCTTGCGTACTTTTCATAGCTAGGTATTTTATATTTTAATGCTATTTTAACATAAACTACTAATTCAAGAACTTTTACACTGTGTGGCTATTCCATATATTCATTCTATATGAACTGCAATTTCATTTAGATTCTACGTACATGCACGTGTATATCGGTGATTTTATAGCAAACTCACGGCCCAGGTAGGTACGAAAGTTCACATATCAGTCATAATAAAGAGAAAAACCGGCCTACTTATATCACAGAAAAGAAGAAGAAAAAAAGACAAGCTAATGTTGATTTTTCAAAAAACGATATTTTCACTGCCATTACGCAAGTTATAAAGGATGTTATTATTCAGCTTTTTTTTTTTTTGGGGGGGGGGGGGGGACTTTTTCATGTTTATAAGTTTAAAACAAGTGTACGTCTATTTCTGAAGTACTAGTCTCGTAATATTGCACACGTAAAAAGTTTCATAAATCATTTTCTCAAAGATGACTAAATATTATATATATTTCTTATAAAACAAATGCCAAAACAGTACAGAGTGCTAGACCATCGGTGATACACTTTTATTGGTAATACATTCGCCTTTAGTCACTGATACCAATTATAAGGAAATGGAATGAACACGTTTTTGAAATGATAACCAGCATCCTTAAAAAAAACACAGTACACTGTACCTACCTGTTAGCTACTTTATATCGAGACAGTTTACGTGTATATATCTTGATGGCGAATGATAAAGAAGAATAAATAGGGAGCCTGAAGTTGGTTCCTAAGTTCCGCTTAAGATAAACGGAACTGGGATCCAGACCCTAGTTCTGTTTAACAAAAAACGTTATTGGAGTTTGGAATTCAGTTCCGTATAAGACCAGTTCTTTTATATGGGCTATGTAAATGTTATTTTTTGTTGTGAAAGGTTGTGGGTTCGATTCCTGTACTGGGGTCTGGTCCCAAGTTCCGTTTAAGAGAAAACGTAACTGAAGTTCCCAGTGGATTATAAGAGGCTGGTAATGATGTTTTTCTGAAACATAACTAGTATTTTGGTCCAAGTTTCATTGTTGGTGTTATTTTAGTTTTAAAACGGATCTGGTTCCCAGTTCTGTTTTTCTTAAACGGAACTAGGGTCTGGCTCCCAGTTTCGTAAATGTTGAAGCCGACCATGACATGATCAAATGGCAATACAAGTAGAAATATGCAAATTATAGGACATAACAGGTGAAAGTGTATGACATATCCATAGTACAATTTAAGTTAAAGTATTATTCGACACGTCTTTGCACAAACATCTTAATAACAACGCAGACTGAGGCAATTCTACCGTCAGAATTTGTGTTTGATGTGTACCTAAAGAACCACACTACAGACTCACAACGATACTCGCAGTTTGGGTACAGTTTCATTCATGCATTTGTGATGAAATCCAACAACGGTCTAATATCAATTTAGAGTCAGCTAGGAAAAAATAGCAAAATTGTTCTTGGTATATGAAATAAACGAAACGTTTTCTGCAAGCCGTATACATTAATTTGATGACATATATAGAAAAAACGATTTTATTGAATTCAAATTTGCGTTTGTTCTCTTCAAAATTTCTGCTATAACCATCGTAATTTATTGTAAATGTGCGCAGTTTGTGGATGCAGTTTGTGAACTTTTTCTGTAGAATTATGAAATGAAAACATTTTTAAAACATCAAGCAATTCAAAGCAAATGTTAATATACGACATATGTGTACTTACATGGGCGTCAGGTGTGGATCCCTAACAGTTTGTGATCGCGAGGGGGAGGCGGTTTTATGCCTACCTCACGTGACTCCCGTACCCTGACCCTCAGACGATGCTCCTGAATGAACCCGTTGTTATCATTCTATCCGGAGTTCCTCTAGTGTTATCCTTAACGTGATCGATATATGACGAAGATACCGGGTGAAACGACATGGTGAAGTGCGTTTATCTGTAGTATGCGATGCTGAAGTGGCAGTTAATATAACTACTAGTATATGATCTCGGTTGTGTTAAACTTTGACCCAATCTCTTGTCATCAGACAGATAGGGTGAGTGCGATCCTCATATACCACAGATATCTTTAATCACAGAAGCCGTTGCAGTTGATAAAGAGTTACGTACGTACGGGCAATGTACCCTTTAGCATTAAGTACTATCTAGGGGAGGATAGAAGGGGTCTAAGCGTGTCTCATGGGCAGTGGCATTACGCAGCCGGTCTGAGCCTGTCTCGAGACAAGATAGGACCGTTCGTAACATTACAATAAGTATATGACACGTATAAATTCATTTATGGTCGAGACATAATAAAATACCTGTACATACATATTTCCTTTTTTTCGAATCAAAATGATGGCGAAACAAAATAATATGCTTTGAGTCTATTTCAGCATATCATCCTCCTTATCTCCTGACTTTTTTTGTGGTTCGTATAATAATTATAAAAGTTCAATTAAAAACGTTTTTGTTTTACCTAATTACCTATGTCACGGATTATATTGTTATGATACGTTTAATACTTCTGTCAATGTGAGGGAGAAGGGATATACATACTTAATTGGTGGGTAATTGCGCAGTGGAACTGGGCCGGGTGCTTCACGGTGAACAGATATAACTCAAATGGTTTGAGCATTCTTTTACAGCTTGGAGGTCGCAGGTTCAAATCCAGATATGGCCCTGTTGAGTTTTCCCTTTTCTGTAAGCGTGGTTCCTTTGACTAAACAATGCTTAGACAAACAAAGGGATACCCGAACCTGGGTTGCAAATAGTGTTGTCTTTTAGGACCAACATTTTCCAAAAGAAGAAAGATGTTCAGCAGGACTGAGTCGGACCCGTGACCAGATAACTCAATTGGTTAAAGCGTCCGTAGAGAGGTTGGAGTCTCAAAGTCGGATCACGATCTGGTCATGGGTCAGATGCATTTTCTCTCTTCAACCATTGCTCCAAGCACTTGGTGTAAGTTTGGCAAAGGGATCGGAAAACTGGATTGTAAATACGGCTGTGTTCAGGGATCAAGGTTTTGAAAAAAGTAGGGAAAGTGTAGTAAATGTAGGGGGTGGGTCGGGTGTTATCCCTGATGCCTACTGGTGATCAGGTGGCTCAATCAGTGCACCCGTCTAATTTTTTGGTTCCGGTCTGCCTGCACAGTTTTAAACAAGGTGCGACTATTGAGAACTGGTTATTAGTCATGACTCAGTTTACAGCCGTGGTCCGTATCTAAATTATTATTTATGTGTTGGCATTTTAATGTGTATTGTTTATTCAAAATCTGTGTCTCTTTTATCGAACGTGTCGACCTTCCAAGGTCAGCACGTGACGACAGCTCGTGACGACACGTTATCAAGAGACGAAACACAAACAGACGATTGCACTAGAATGACATTATCATAAGGTCAGCTAAATTATCATCAGCACATATATTTTCACTAAATGTTCCAACTCTTAATTCCCCACCAAACCCCTTTAATCCAATAGTAAACCATGTAGGGCCTCTGACTCAACATTTTAAAAGTATTAAACTTTCTGACGTGTTGGTTAAAAAAAGTCATCTCCACCATTTATAGATCGAACATTTTAAGAAGTATATTATGACGATTTAAAAAACAAGCTGGAAGCTTACACTAATTCCCTTCTCTATATGACGTTACGGAAAGGTTTATATGGACATTTACAGAAATAAATGATGAAATTTGGACAAACGGTAGAAAAAAATACAAAAGTATAATGTTTTGTTATGCTTTGAGCTATTTAAGTAATGTAGTGTTGAAAAGCGAACAAAGAAAAGGAAAACAATGCAGGACCTCTGTGGTGTAAAGAAATGGTATATCAAGCAAGACGATTTTTTTCAAACTGATGAATCAATCAAATACAATCAAATTTGACATTTATTATATGTTATCATATTGTATTATACCATAATATTGCTATATTGAAATATCAGTTTACACTACACCGCTGTATGGTGACCCTCCAGTGAATGATTACATTGTTTACATAACGTCATCACGTAGACTTGCACAAGCTCCACCAGTATCAGCGACAGACTCTATTAGATTTCACAAGTTCTAACTATTCAAAAACGCATGTTAATTGAAATTTGAGAATTTATTCTTGCTTCAGACGAGTTCATGACGTGATGAATTGAGCTGATTTCGAGACAACAAACTGGAAGCAATTTACGTTGAATGTGTTTCAAGATCAACTAGATTCGTCACTCCATGACACCGACCGAGGAAGTTTCAATCCTTAAAATCATTAAAAATGTCGCCTGATACGGATAGGCAACATTTTATACCATTGGCATGCGCGCAAAGTACATAGTCCTATAATTAGATGTTTTCTTAACAAAAAACGGATCACAATACTTTCGTTCAGTTTTAGATAATGGATTTTCTTAATCTCGTACATGCAATAGTTTTATATGTCATATACTCTCCCACATCTCCTTGATGTATCTTATGATTATTTGTTGTCTGTCGTCGAGACAGATATAGCTAAGTTCTATATTTATTTATTTCCTGGTACTCTATCTCAATATAAACATCTCTGTTTATGTTCAAGGACTCCTTCTATTACAGGGATCATAGAAATCAAATAAATAAGAGGAAAAAAGAAGATCCGTAAACTATAGATCACATGCTTGAATCTAACTAATACCGCATAACGGGTTATTTACGCGGACTAAAATTTTCGCGAATTTGACCAAAGATTAGAAAGTTAAGTTTACACGGTTTTTAATTTTGCGATGTAGACATTTGGAGGAACTCAATCTTAGCGGTGTTTTACCAAATAGACTTGCCACTCGGCGTATTAAATGTTAAATAGTCAAATGAATAGGCTTTCTGACTGCATATTGACCCATAATAAGTAAGTATATCATATGTATGATATAACCTATTTTCAAACATCATTACTTATATAAATCGTCACAACCACATGCGCGCTATTTAATGACTACATAACGGCTATGAAGATTGTTATCGCGGCTTATATTTACAATAGACATATCATTTTGCGAATTATGTTTTCGCGATCATCGTTAGGACAATGAACAATTTGTTCAAAAATGTGCTCTATGATGGAAGAGATTATGCAAAATCTGAACAAAATTGTCTAAATATTCAAATTAAAATAATACATCCAGCTTTTAACTTGTAACCAAAACTTTCATAACTGGAAACACGCCAATAAAAGTATCATTACAGTCTTTTAAAAAAATAATAAAGATGATTTGAGAATTCAAAGTTTTGGAGCTTTGATGGAATTCGGTGCCTAAAAGGCCCAACCATGCAAGGTCCGTTCATCTGGATCTTCCTTCGGTCAGAGTGATTCATGATCAGAAACGGATGTTGTGCTTTCTTAGGACAGAGGAGTCCAATAGGGAAACGGAGGTAAATCTTTGACAACTTTGTCCTTCCGTACAAATGAAGGAATATGAACCAAAGTTGTCCTGAAGCATACTTCGGAAAAAAACCTCACTGTTGTATAAATGTATTTATTATATGTAATCGTGGCTGAGTGGGGAGAATCGGGAAAAGCATGCTCACTTCTCACTGTGCTGTGTAAACATTGATGTCTTCAGTAGACCTACTTAACCACATATATTACTCTGCCTCATCGACATTACAGCGTGTCTAAATGGATGATACTGGTCAAATGACGGGGCAATAAAACAGCATGTCGCCCTCACGCGCTCAAGGTTCCCCGATCATCTTTCCCTTATTTGGAGCCTCTCTAGAAAAATTCGCAAGTGCCACCACAACTTAGTTCCGAATGACGGAAGCAGACGACAACCATGGGGCGTCAACCTGAGCATCTCTTCTATTGTGTTATTGTTTTTGATTCATATATTTTTTTTCGGCTTCTTCATAAAACAAGATTAACCTCAGGCAAAAAATTTAATGTTTCCCTACAGTACGGACAATTAAGTAAAATGTTTACTGCATAGCAATGAAGAAACCGTCGACGACGTGTTAAAGACATTTTGAATGTTTTGCTGACTAACAGTACTATAAATATGGTTGGTTTGGAAAGTATTTCGACTTGGCTGCACATCTTGAGGCCTTTCAAATACATATGCCAACATTTTTAATAATGTTATCAGTATGATAGCCATTCAAAATTGTCGATTTTTGTTGTTCATATTCATTATCAAATTCATAATTAACGTCGTCTACAAAAACAACGATCAAATTACGATGCCTGATTCTGAGATCACCCATGTATTACCAAACTAATATGTTCATTTCAAACACTGGCAATTGGTGGCAAAAAGTTGGAGTCCAAAGATCTGAAACGTTTATATTACTTTTGCACGAAACTCGTACTCTATCATATTTGTGTTTTGAAAGTTGTGTCCTTTCATTGTAATTTATGCATGTATACATAGTTCGTTCCTCTTGTTGTTATTTCATATCTGATTCCGACTTTGTCCTGGAGGGGTACGTTTTTGATACTTTACAAAGATCCATATTCATTAAAAATTAGGGGACAAAAAGAAAGAGCGTTTCTTGGCAATTCAAAACTTTATGAATTACGATTGGCAAACCAATAAAACTCTCAAAAATCAAACTTCATTTCTCGATGTTATACCGGCTTCAATCTACAGACTGTCTTCGTGGAAACTAATGAAGCTGTTTATCGTACATTGCAAGTATATCAAACTGGACAATGAAGCTGTTGAGTGCACAGTCTCAATAATTAATTTACAATTGTTAGCAGTATGCTACATTGTATGTTCGTATTACTGTCAGTCTAGCCTTTTTTCAAACTCATTGCTATTCTACTGTTTTAATGTTTTACTTTGTTTTTGTGTTGTTTCACAGCCCACCGACAACAAACAAATGTAAAAATGTATCAACAGAGAACGGATTGGTTGTAAATCATATCAAATTTTATTATAAAGATCAATTGAGTGTAAATAATCACATATTGATTGAACAGAAACGGTATCAAATATCAAATAAACTTTTCACACACGATTCATTATATAATCTGTTACTTTTTTGTTTGAAATCAGCGCATTCAATCATAAAATGTTTGACTGTAAATGGCTGATCACACGTTTGTTATAACAGAAATAATGATAATAACAAAATGAAAGTAAAGCTTGATTACGAATATCGATTTTATATTTCCATTGATCACAACAACAATATTTCCAAAACGTCCATTTCATAACAGATTATGAGAGAATATATGCCTTGCATTCATTATAGAAAAAGTGGTCATTTTTAATCTTAATTTGTTTTTGTACCATATTGGCGATTTGAATAGATCATCAAAATTTTTAATAATTGTCATTTCTTCCACTTTGGTCCATGCTTCAAAAACATCTTTCAAAAATTGATTTTCTGTATGAATACTTTTAATGTATTCAATTCCTATTTCTCCATTTTTTTAGGTTTACCAATTTCCCCAAACAAGTTTAGCCATTCATTGTCATTGAAGTATTCTCCTAATCCATGTAGTTTTAAGTCCATATACAATGTATAAACTTATCTAAGTCAATCATTTTGACTCCACCCTCACTATAGTCTTGAACAATTGTTGAGCGTTTTATTCTATCAATTGGTGATTGCCAGATAAAATTGTAAAAAATGTTGTTCAATGATTGAATTATGTTTTTACTTAGAGTAGGGAGAGATATAAACAGGTGATTCATTTTTGCAATGATAAAGATATTTTAGAACAGTTATTCTCCCTAAAGGTGTTAAAATTCTTCTTGACCATTGATGTAACTTGCCATCTATACTACCAATAGTTTTGTTGAAATTACAGTACAATGTCTTCTAAGTTGACAGAGAAATCAATCTCAAGCAAGGTAAATTTGTTTGTTCTCCATTTTAGTTTCCACCTGTAATGGTATACATAAGTACTATTTTTTTTGCTTCCTTTCCAAATAACATTTGTTTTTTCAGTATTCACTTTTAGCCCTGATATTTTAGCATATTTATCTAACATGTTTGTAGCCTCTATGAATGAAGATTTTGTGCCATTTAAAATATAGGATGTGTCATTACCGAACTGTGAGAGCCTGTGATCTATGTTATTTATGTTTATGTCCTTAAAGTTTTTATTATTTTTTACCATGATAGCTAATATTTCAGCTATCAAAAGAAATAAGTAAGATGATACTGGATCCCCTTGTCTGCACCCCCTTTTTATGTCTACGAAGTTGGATAAAAAAACATTCTATATGATAGCCGAGTATTTGTATTAAAAACCTGTATCCATTTCTTTTTACTATTTCCAAAATTGAAAAAAACTTAATACTTATGCAAGATAGTCCCATGACACAGAGTCGAAAGCCTTTTCAAAATCAATAAAAATAAGTTGTCCAGGTATATTATGTTGCTCTGTATAGTTCATTATATCATTTATTAACCTTGTATTTTCCCAAATGTATCTCCCACTTAAAAAACCTGTTTGTGTTTAAGAAATTTACAGAGTCTAAAACTGATTTCAATCTATTTGCAATACATGCAGATGCTAATTTGTAAGCTTTGTTCAGAAGAGTAATAAGGTCTCCAATTCTTAAATATTGTCCTGGTTTATTACCTTATGGAAGACATATTATGACACCTTGTTTTTGGTGGAATAGATAACTGCCCATTTTTGTACCCTTGATTTAAAGATCTTATAATAAAATATTTTAGATCTTGCCATTTATTTTTATAAAATTCTGCAGCATAGCCGTCTGAACCTAGTGATTTATTGTTTTTCATGTTTTTCTGTGCAAATAATAATTCTTTTTCTTTCAAATCACCTTCGATATTTACGTTTAGGTCAACATCTGCAACGCTTTCAAAGTGATTTGAATAAAAATCTTTGTAGAACATTTCTATCTCTTTCAACATTTCGTTCTGTTTTGTGATAAGTTCACCATTATTTTTTTCAATTCTGAAAATAGTTTAATTTATATAGTTTGTTTTTATTCTAGACTGCAGAACAAATTACTTATCTTTTCTCCCTCCTCTATCCATTTTTCTCTTGATCTGATCATGTGTCCTTTTAATTTTTCTTTTCTAATATCTTTTACTTCATTTTGTTTTGTTTTCTAAAGCAAGTGTGTCTTCTAGTTATGTATTACTGTTTTCAATTTGATCAATCTCCTCTTTTAGTTTACTTTCTAATCTATTTATATATTATTTTTTTTTTTGATGCATATGATATATATAGTCCCCTAATCTCTATAAGCATGGTTTCTAAAAAGAGTTGATCACTTATTTTCAAGTCAATTTTTTTTTCCAGAAATATTATTCAGGTTTTCATTGTGTTTTGGTGATGCATATTGCTATTTAATATCATTAAGTTGTTGCTTTACCTTGGCCACATATTGAGTATCACATAATAAACTATTGTTACATTTACATAATCCACGGTCTTTTTCAAATTCATGTATATTTAATTCTAATGTTAATAATGAATGGTCTGTTCTGTATCCTGTCTGTATGCGTGTTTGTTCTACTTAGTTCACGAGGTTATCAGATATAAGGAAAAAGTATAGTCTAGCTTGTTTAAAAGGATTTCGCTTTCTCCATGTATAGCGCTTATAATATGGGTGATTTATTCTAAAGCAATCGACAAGGGTAAATTCTTCCATAAGATCTGCAACCTTATCTCTAGCTCTTTGATTATTAATGTTTCTGTAGTTGTGTGTGTCTATTGCAGGATTAAGAACAAGATTAAAGTCAACACATATGATACATTCTGCATTGTTAAAATCTTTGATCTTTTTGCTTACATTTTCATAGAAATCTAGTTTATCATTATTTTGACCATAGATATTTACAAGTGTAATTCTTCTTTTTTCAATGGTTATATCGACAGTTAACATATTTGCTACATTGTCATCTTACTTATCATGATTTTCAAACTCAAAGTTATTGTTTATCATAATGCAAACTCCACGGACATTCGATTGAAAGGAATTAAACAAACATTTAGACCCCCACTTTGTTTCTATAGCTTTTTCTTTGTGACTTGTAAAATATGTATCTGGAAGACCAATTAATTATATTAAAGTTGGTGTAATGTGTTTTAAGATAGCTCAATACATCTAGTCTTTTTATTTCATACACAGGCCCTGACAGTTCACTGATGCTATTCTTACTTTATTATCCACACATCGTGTTTAAATTTTAATTGAACCTTAGCTGAGCACCCTATTAAAATTGCGAGCACATACAGCACATTACAAATCGGACATAAAAATACACAAAGGTAAAAAGGAAAAGTTGAAGAGGTAAGTGTCATCTTATTTTCCTTGTTCAACAAAAAACCCCACAGTATTCAGTATCAGCCTGTCCCTTCGTTTACATATGAATTTGGACAGTTCTGTGTTACATGTACATAACAGAAATTTCAAAAGGTTAACGTATCAAAATAAAAAGACAATGTCGAAAAAAATACAGCATAAGTTTATCATAAATTTTATATCATTTAACTTATTAAAATAATGACATTCATTCACCGAGACACTTAGCAATGCAAGTTCATATTTAATTAGATTTTCAGGTTAGTTTTCTTTTTTAGTATTTTTTAATTTTGCTGTTGTTGTATTAATCATGCTACTGCAGAGTTATACTATACATATTTATGTTGACGTGTAATTCTAAACCGAGCCCCTGTGCGCACAGGTTGACCGGGTCACTTTCGTTTCATCATGCAAGTTCTAAGACATATATTTCGGTAAAAGAACAGCTGTCAGGATATACCTAGAATGCTGTGCGAAATGACCTGACTTACGTTGTTTATGTATCCAATCTTTCCACATGTAAAGGTGCTTTTAGGAACTTGCATTGCTCATGTTCGAATGTATAAATGTATCGTCGGTTTCTATGTCCCGAGGGTGAACGTTTGGTGTACAAGTAACAAAACGGAATGACTTCTTCCTTTTCCGGATTACAAATACAATGTAAATATCAAAGCGGAATGACGATTATCGTTTTCGGCTTGCAAATAATATGGCCAATAGTGTTTATATATATATCATTAAATGTTTACACAAATGGGACCCAGCACTTGGTGTTTGAACAAGAGACTGAAGTAATATATTCAGAGTAACACTCTCAATATAATAACATAACAAAATAATTAAGTTTGTATTCCGTAGCTAAGAATAAACACTAAATGTATCGTCTTTACTCAAAAAGAGGGAGAACACATATCATCTATTTAAAGCGAATGATTGAAAAGAGAAAAAAAAGTATTACTTATAAATTAAAAAAGAATAAATAAATACATGTTCCTCTTGTACATTAAGCTACATGTATGTTATGACAAACTAATCCGTTTGATATTTTGTCAAGGTATTTAACTATATAAAAATATATATTATATTTGAATAAGGCCATCTCGTTTTTGGATATGTACTATTCCTTATCATATTTATTTAATCAAAACATAATTGGTGCAATTCATACGTCGAATTACTCAATATTCAAGCATATTGTATTGTATAAACTTTGTACTTTATTTCAGTACAATACTTTTAAATGACTAAAATGTTCGACTTGCCTTACACAGAAAACTATCCATCATGTTGTATACTTATTTGGTTTAAAAAACGGGACAACAGGTAAAACAGCATATGCGGGTACAAAAAAAGTAATATAATTCGTAACTATACATATATACACAAATGATTTTTGAATGAGATAGATTTAGGCAAGCAGTTAAGACTATATACGTATTTATATCGGGATTCATCATCTAGACCATCATGTGCCACCAAAGGAGCTTAAAAGAGACAGCACTTCTCAATAAAGCACTGTTTTTATATCAAATACCAGCTATGGAGCTACAGGTGTACATCTGTACATTAGAAGTATACATGTGTAAGCATGATGTTCAGTGGTTCTTTTGCAATGATATGATGAGGAAAGTCTATATACATGTATGTTATACATACACAAATTAAAAAACTATCTTTCTTCAGCTACGAATGTAGATCGCCGTTGTTGTTTTCAAAGGAACAAAAATACAATCTTCATGTAAAACTCTTGTACACATGTGGCACCACAATTTTATCATAAACTTGTGTAAAAATGAATACTATTTTCCGTGTTTATTTACATATGTACTCTGTTTACATTCGATGAGAAATAATCAATCATGTTATGGTTACACCTGAATGTATGCTTCTCTCTATATCAACATTATCCTAGATTTTTATGCAAGTTTAAAATCTTAGAAACTATAGCTTGATACGGCTATACATTTTTTACAGCTATACAATTTAGGTTGATTGAGCCATTATAGGTGTATTGATCCGCAATTGGGCGATGGGACACATACCATGATAAATAAAAATTATACTGAGTTATACAAGCATTTATGCATCGCAGTAAAACGTACTATCACATAATTGAACAAGACTTTTTTTTCTTCTCCTTTAGGAGTTTCTCTATGTTTTTTTGTAAATCCGAAATTAGTTCATTTCTTTCATCGGATGTATTTTTACTCGCCTGTAACTGCTCTTCAAGTTTTTCTTGCATTTTAGTCATTTTGTTTAGTATCTTTTCTTTCTCCGTTTCTTGATATTTCTTTCTTTCATCAGCTTTATCTAACAACCTTTGATTCAATTTACGATGGTTCTCGTTTTTCTTTTGTAATGAATCAAGCACCGCTTGCATAGATTGTTGTTGTTCGTTACCATCCTGTTCCTGTTCTGTTCTTTCTCTCTCTTTTTTGTGTAGAGTTGCAGTTAGAGTTTTCACATCTCCCTGTAACAGCTTCACTTGTTTGGGATCCACTTCATAGCCATCCATGTACTTTGCTAATTTTGTCTCAGCGTCTCGTAACTTAGCCTGTAAATCATCTTTTTCTTGTTCTATCTTATCTTCCCTTTCCTTATCCTTTCTTTTGTTTTCTTTCATTTGACGATATATATTTCTTATTTCGTTTTCGTTCGAAACAGCACGCTCACAACTTTGTTGTAGGTCATATTGTAAACTCCTATTTTTCTCTTCCATTTCCTGATGTAGTTTTCTGTACTCAGCTCTTACTTCATTCCTGATTTGCTCTTCATGTAATCGCTTTTGCTCCTCTTTTTCTCGCTGACGTTCCAGTTCACGTGTCCTGAAGACTTCCACTGCTTTCTTATACATTTCATTAGTATAATGAGAACCACCATTACGTTCAACGATTACGTCAACCATATCCACCAACTGTTTAGCATCACTGTCCCGTTCTGCTCTTGGTTTAGTATTGTCAAACGCAATGTACTGATAGTTGCATATATCCAACACGTCCCGAAGATGTTGTGTGCCTTTTTTAATAAATGTTTCTAAACTTTCCGACTGTCGTTCTAAATGGTCTCTTCCTGTAAATAGCACAATCATATATTTATATATGTCGTCACCAAACAACTCAGCAAGTTGTCTAATTGTATCTTGTTCTTCTTTAGTAAACCTCCCTATGGCGACAACAAGGATAATAGCGTGAGGACCCGGTATCGTCATATTGATTAATCTGCTGACCTCTTCTTTAGTCTGTTCTATGCTGACGTCAGTATCGTACATGCCTGGCGTATCAACAACTACGAGATGTTTCCCAAATCGACGCGCTTCGTCAGATTGACATCTATGAGTCACCGAGGCCCCCGCAACGAAAGATTTAAACGCTTCTGTCCCAAGTAAAGTGTTGCTTGTCGCACTCTTTCCAACTCCTGTTTTGCCAATCAACACGATCCGTAACTGTTGCTTCAACTCCTTACCGTAGTACGGGTCTGGAAATTGACGAATATTCGTTTAACAGTGTAAACAATCTTATGTGAGAGCCTGTTTAAGATATTGCCACCAAGTCTAGACCTTATACGTGTGATGGGGTTATTGAGTGATGGGGTTATTGAAACGAATACTATTTAACTTGTGCTTGTATTACATGTTATTCCGTTATCTATTTTCGTGATAATATCTTTGTTTTTATACATCATATGTTTAAATTAATACGAGAATTATTTATATTAATGAAAATATAGCTCGATCGTACATAGTATACAGTACTATATATTTTAGGCTTGATTGATTTAGCACAACTGGATAGTATTTGATATTTAAAATCTCTACACGATTTTTGTAGAAAGTAATGTTTTGTCCACACTTAAATATATATTTTAAATGTTTAATAGTTAAATCGACATGGTCGATAAAGCATTATCTTACAACCTATTTGAGAAGTCGTTAAAACATGTTTCTGATTTAGTTGGGCAACCATTGAAAATATCACAAAAGAATTGTGTCTGATGGAGAACAAAATGATTATTTTGTTTTGTTTAGAAAACTAAAACATATAATACGTTATAAGTGTGTAATTATTAAGGTTTTGTAAATGTTATAACATGTACTATTTGATATATTCTAAAGTGCATATATAATTAATATTGCATTATTGTCGGTAACTAGTGGAATGTGCTAGTCGATTCCCGTTTTCTATTGAGCATGTGCATCAGCGTTGTAAGTGTCATATAGTATATGTTTTCATTTCTTCGTTTATTCCAGTATTAAGGTTCTAATAAGGAATGAGGAGGTTAATGAGGAGGAGGTGGAAGGTTAATTGCTGTATTAAGGTTCTTATGACGAGGGGGAGATAACCCTTTGCTTTTGTTTTTGTTGCTATGTGTAGTTTGCATTAGTTTGCGTTTTCTTGTATAACTTACCCTTTTATCTCAGTCTATATATAATAAGTATGTCTAAAGCTGCTATGTCAATATATGTATATTTTAATTGAATTGGTTTTGACTGAATTAATCATATATATGTCCGTACATCCGTTTACATACGGCTTTGTGGAGATTTAAATGTAATAACTATTTAATTAAATTACTTTTACACAACACGTACATATCTTGGCAAGTTACTTATTAACAAAATAACATTGAATATTCTGAACTAAACACAAGTTTTAGCGATATTTTTACCAAAATATGCAGTTGGTATGTATGCTGATACGGATGCCGTCCCTGTGTGATACGGATTACGTTTACATTGATAAAAATGGAATGATACGGTTTACAGTCAAACAATCATATTTCAACTAAATGAAAATCAATATTTTTTAACAAATTTTAGGATAATTTTTTTAGTCACAAAGCATCAGATAGGAACAAATAGAATATTTAAACTTGACTTTCTTTATTTTTCTAGATCTGAGACTTCCCAAAAGTTTTTCTTTTGTGTTTTAATACTACACTCATTAAAAACTTGACCATCATTAGGAGTAGATGTGTATCAGTTATATAGACCGAATGTGTTCGTTATTTGGAAATCTAGACAGGTGCTATCGGAATCAAATTAGTATCAGATAATTATACAAGCTTACATTCTTATTCATATCACATATATTTCATTCACCACACACTGCAACTCGCACATGTGTGGTATGACTATCAAAAAAACAAAATCACATGACTAAACAAATGATGTATGTTTCCAATGAAAATTTCTATTGTCAAATGAAAGCAATTATTCTGTCTCGGAATAATTTAAGTTCAACTTATAAGTTATAATTAATAACTTTAAAATTGAAAACAAACTTACATGAAAAGCTACTTATTAAGGGGCAGTAACTCAAGTATTTCAAGGGACGGAGTTCGAAATGTTTGGTGACGCGACCTCACAACCTTCAACAACTAGAACAGTAAGTCAATGGCTATCTAAATGCTTAGTAAGGTAAAGCATTGCAAAGCAATCCATAGTCTCACACCAGTAATGGTTTATTTATTCACTGATCTGTACACTTATTTAAGTATATAGGTAATTGACATACTTTCTGTACTCCCTCCCAATTGCAAAACATACTTGCACACCAAATATTGTTAGCCAAGATGAACCAGTTTTACTAAAATCGTCATAGTAGTTAAGGAGAAGTTGTCCGGACAAATATTTCAAACAAAGGGCCATAACTCCTTAAAAAGGGTCGAAATGAAAGAATTACTACCCTGATGCACGACATCAGGGGTTATTTACCAAACATGTAAACTGTCATTGAAATCGGACCGGCAGTTTCGGAGACAACATTTTTTTCTCAACAAAGGACCATAACTCCTTTTTGAAGGGTCGGAATGAAAAAAATACTACTCTGATCAAATTAACCCCGTAGTTTTGGAGGAATTGCCCGTAGAAAGATTTTTCAACAAAGATCCATTTTAAAGGCTCGAAATGAAAATAAAATAACGTCTGGATGTACAACTTCAGGTGGTATTTATCATCTCTGGAAAGTTTCGTTGAAATCGATCCAGAACGAGTTGTCCGGACAAAAAGTTATGATGCACGAAACAAGGGCGTAATTACCATATCTATAAACTTTCATTGAAATCGGACATGTAGTTTAGGAGACAGGCAAAGTTTTATTTTAACAAAGGACCATAACTCCTCTTTTAAAGAGTCGGAATGAACAAGTACTACTTGAATTCACAACATCAGGGGGCAGTAATCATATCTGAAAACTTCCGTTGAAATCGGCCCCATTTGTCTTGACAAATATTTTTCAACAAAGGGCCATCACTCCGTAAAAAGGGGGTCAGATTAAACAAATAATACATGGAGGAACAACTTCAGTTGGTATTTATCATACCTGGGGAGTTTCGTTGAAATCGATCTTTAACTTAAGAACGAGTTGTCCGGACAAAATGTTTTAGGGTTTGTTCAACAAAGGGCCATAACTTTGTCAAAGAGAGTCGAAATGAAAAAAAATACTACCCTGATTTGCGACACAAGGGGGTAATTGCTATATCTGTAACTTTCATTGAAATCGGAGGGGTGGTTTAGGAGACAGACAAAGTTTTAACAAAGGACCATCACTCCTTTTAAAAGGATCGGAATGAAAAAATACTACTTGGATTCACAACATCAGGAGGCAGTAGCCGATTTGATCATGATAAGTTTTAAGGAAAAGGATTATTCAAGAAAGGGTTATAACTTCGTAAAAAAGTGATGGAAAAAGTTACCTGGATGCACATCACCAAAGGGGTAGTTATCATATCTTAAAACTTCCGTTGAAACTGGCCCCATCGTTTTGGAGGAGTTGTCTGGACAAGTACTTTCCAGCAAAGGGCCATCACTCCGTAACGAAAAGGGGTCAGTTTCATCTTTTGGGAAAGCCGTGATAAAAATAGCTACGCCCAAAATAGCGCAATATCTGGACCTTTCAGTGAGAGGTAAACATGTACAGCACTACACTGTCGACCGACAACACGGTGTTAGTTATGAGTCCGAGTTTACACAGTATATCGCAAGTAAGAGTATAAGTTTCATAATATTTACCTCTAATCAGAAATTTCTGTCCACATTTGGATTTAAATAAAAACGAACAGGTTCAATTAGAGCATGCACCCACTGAGAGGGCGCCAAAGGGAGAATTTCAAACAGCAGAATGTATGATATCAACAGGTTTAAACGTAAAATAGATCACTCATTTATAATGATGTTTGAGACGCTGTTGGGAGATGATTTTTATTCATAATAATTGCATGTACTTGTATTCTAGAGAGGCTAGGCTAATAAAGCGAGAAGTTACCTTCTCTCCTCGGCTGGAAAGACATTCCTGTTAGCTACAAAATCACCGACAGCTGCCGCTAAAACGTACGGCTGTGCAGTTATATTGTCTCCTGCCAATTTCCCAATATGAATTGTTCATAAAGAGTATCAAACTATATAATCATGAAGAATTTTGTGGCAAAGTTATAAAAAAATATTACTTCACTAAATTGTCCCTTTAACGATGATCCAATATTGGCTCATAATACGTACTGTCCTGTCTGTTGTCTGTGAAGCGTCATACGTTTACGTAATTCATACTAGTTGGTTCAATGTGAAATTCAGAACAATTTGCACAGATCATTGCATTAAGACCATTCCGAGGTCTACAGTTCATATGAGCTTTTACTCTTTTTTATTCCATTTTTACAATTACGATTTGTTGGTCCAATTAGCATCCACAGTCCGACGTTTAACTGTAAAATGAATTGAATTTCTTCACAACCTGTTTACTTTTTTGGGAAGCTATGTGAGAAGCCATATAATGTGAATGAATAAATAACCGACAGAGCTAATATGGTAAATTGTATTCGGATGTAAAGTAATAAATTGATTAGACACACGTACCATACGAAATGACAACATATGAAACTGACCCACGGGGCTTACTTAGTCTCGTTCAACCAGGCTCTTGTTGCCTGCGCAAAGCTACGCCGAATATAGTCTCGTTCAACCAGACGCTTGATCACTTGTAATTCAAGAATCTGGTCAAACACAATACTTCAGAATTACCATCACCAGAGGGCAGTGTTTTTACTTTCGTTTCCGGACGTTATGTCAACGCAATGAAACATTTCAATGAATAATGAAATTAATGATAAAAATTACCTATACATGCATTCCTGAAGTACCCGTGTATTCACTTTTATCGAGAACATTGTAAGAAAATTTGTCAAATCTCCAGAATAATGCCATATATTTCCATTCAAGCACCCTTCATGAACAAGAAACTACGACAGGAAATATATCACAAGAAAATGCTACACAACAAATTCACATCGAACCGTTTAGGCCACAACTGGGAAAATTATAGAAAACAGAGAAATAAGGTCACTAAATTAAGAAAACAATCAATAAGACACTATTTCATAGACAAATGTACAGGGGGCAAAACACGCAAAACTTTTGGGACACAATTAAACCTCTTATAACCAACAAAGGAAATCAAAAACAAATTGACATCGTCCTAGAT